CTGTGCTTACATATTATTCTGCCATTTCAAACATTAGTTTGGAGCCAAGCATGAATGATCTTGGTGAAAAGATGTGAATCTGCAGCAATTCAATGGACTTAGTTGTGTTAGCAAAATGAAAATATGTATATAATTACAGTGATCAAATTATATATAATTTTTCACTCTGAATACTTTGTATTTATATACTGTTTTATTTTTAGGAGTAGAACCTAATATATTATAAATAAAATTTAGCCATTATTAAATAATTAGTAATTTATAAATTTCTGGCAGATACATCACCAAATTTGATCTCCAAGTTCCATGGCAGCACTCTGACTGAGAGAATAATATGCAAGTACCATTAAATCATATTTATACAAATGAAACAAACAAGCAGTTTTATCACTTTACAATAATTATACAGATACATATAGGAAAAGTATAGTATATTTAAAAGAAGACTTTTAGAGAAAATTAATAAATTATTCTTAGTATTAATAACAGAATTCATACTCTTAATTTTAATAGTGTCTTACATAATAGTAACTTCTTAATTTCAGTAGCTTGATAATAATTAATATCTTGCTTTAAATTATATGCATACATAAGTATCAGTTTTTAAAAGAAAATGCATGAAAAATGTGGCATTAAATAATAAAATCAATGAAAATATTTGAATTAATACACAGAAATATGGCACCAAGATCTGTAACTTTTTCAGACCTCTCATCTTAGAAGTCTGAAAACCTTAATACATTTTTAACATATTAATACTTTTTTCCCTTAAACACTACCTAGGTTATAATTAATTATTATAGTAAGGATAAAAAAAATTCTGTAATGAATCAAGATATAATTTTGTTTTTCAAGTGCATAAAATTTACATTGAGCTTGAGAAATATAACACTGTTCATATTAATACCTGGCATACTTTATAATTAGTTCAAAATAAAAAATTTTAAATATTTATCACACATTTCAAATACTAACAAAATATGCTAATTAGAAAGTATTATATTTACTTTGACATACAAGGCTTGACATTTCTGTAAAATACAAATTAGTCTTAATACGTAACTTTAAATTTCTTCTAATTTCATGTACCATAACATGCAAAAGATTTAGGAACTCTCTGCAATCTAAACAAATGTACTTTTAAACGTTGAAAAAATTTCTTATTATTCTCTCATTCCCCAAATCCTCTTACAAAGGTTATTTTCACATCTTTTCAAATTATTATAATTTTATAAAATTCAGACTTTTGTAATTTGTGAGACTATAAATTTCAAGTATTTCCATTTTAAGCTGAGAATTTTTAGCAAATTTTTTATTACTGAAGTTTGGTGGATGGCTCAAAATGATTTACAAATAATTCAATCACAAAGATGATGTTATAGATTGAACATAATTTAAATATTAAAAAATATTTAATATTATTTTATTCAATCCTCCTAATACATATTAACTAAATTTCTTAATGTCAATATTTCATTTAAAATGTTCTAGCAATTCTGCAAAATCTTTGCCTAAAGTAAATTCAAATAAATATCATCATCTTCCATTTCGCCATGAAACATCATTATAATTCACTTCCTAGATAATATTTTCAACTTCAATAGTATTCCTTTAAAAGAATATATAGATAGATTATTGTGAAGCACTACATTTTACTCATACAAGCAAGCGCATAAAGGATAATTCACGAAGAGAAAAATCTTGTGATTGTTTGAGAAACGCTAACACAACTAAGAAATAAAGTAAAATTCACCACACTACTGACAAATTCTCAAAAGATGCACATGCCCATAATTTGAGAAATGTATCAGCATCAGAAGTGCCTTTTCTTTCCTGTATTTTTCTTCTCTACCCTTATTTTCCGAATGAAATCTGACTTGGCACTTCAGTTTGTCTTTAGTTAGATTAGCATTTATTTGTAATTTGAACGATATGTACAGCTGTATTTATATGGCAAAATTGTAAATTCTGTTTACATACATTTTCATTTGGGGTCAAAAATTTCAGCAAAATCTTACTTCTTAGCTTATATGAAGATCGCTGATATTGGGAAATATATGGTAAATAACTTCACAAATATGAACTTTAACTGCTTACATTTAAAGATATTTCAAATGTGCAATTATCAAAAGGGGGTGGGCAAGGGAGAACTTTTTAATTAAGGTGCAAGTTTTGAAGGACAAACTTTAAATTGAATAAAGCATTTTTATAAATAACATCCTAATAATGATTACTTCAGCTTAATAATAGTAGCCAAAGCAGCACCAATGTTAGTATTTATAAAAAAGTTTTAGTAACTTTACAAATTATAATACCATGATGTATATTACAGTATTGTACTGTTTATCATTAAGTCACAGATCACTTTAGGCAGACTATGCTTTGCATCCCTTAAATATATTAACTGCCAGTATGAGGAAGTAGAGATACAAACTGAAATTTTCAAATGAAATTAATCTCCTTTTTTTATTTGAAGGGGGAACATTTTGCATTTTAAAACAAAATATCAATCATTTTAATTTACATGATAGATTGCAAATTATTATTGTAGGCACAATACAGCACTATTCAAAATAATTCTCAAAGTCACTGTTTACAAAATTTCCTAAAAATTATTTTATAAATACATACTTTAGACAGAATGTTTATATCATACTGCAAATAATATTTAATTGATGAGACATGTAATGCCCATCATGCTAAAATATCACCCATTTTCAGAGTATTTGTGTTTATCTTAAAATCACTATCAATTTAGTTTTGTGAATCAAATGCGACATGTATTCATAAATAATACGTAGGCATCCTCAGGTCTTAAAATCTGTCAGCATAACTTTTATATTAACAATCTCATATAAATGTTAAAACTTGTTCTTATGGTTGATAGATTGATACACACATCACTTTAAAAATCCCATCATACCACTTAAATAGTGACACACTGCATGAAGAAATAAATTGTGATGTTTATAATAAACCTTCAAAAGGTTTCAGAACTAGGGCTGTATATAATCAATATGAAAATGTTTTAAACACAATTATATGTTCAAATTACTTTCCTTAACAGTTGCAAAAATGAAGTAAGAAAAACTTTCCTCACAGCATTGTTTAAAACAAAAAGGACAAGGATATCTAGCAAATTGGAAGACATGTGGAAGCACCATTTCTCTCAATTTTAGCTAAAACCAAACAGTCAGTATATCTAGAGAAGGCTGCTTGTCAAAGGGCAGGGTTTAATCTTCAGCAGCTATGAATATTTGTGATCACATAGCTATGCACAGTGAGCAGCCCTAAAATTCATTGGTCTAAAAATCCTCTCAAGAAGCTGGTAAAAAGTGGAATGAGATTCTGTGCTTTCATTACCTAAGGTGCTCTTTATTTAAACTGGGATGGAGTCCAAAACTCATTATGTCACCACAAGGTGCTCTAGGTCTATGACATGTCAAAAATCAAAATATCACTAATGGTAGGACATGTATCGTACACATACACTTTGTCTGATCAGAGTTTCATCCCACTTTAAGATGAAAACTTCTATATAGGTGATATATGGTATGAAGTAATGACTTTATGTTAGAAACATTTTTGGCAATTACATCAATGATGTCATTACAGATACTTACTCACAATGGAGGTAGGCAGTTTAAGGAGGAAAGTTTTAATTGAAACGAAGATAAAAATTTCAGTAGAAGGCATTAAATACAGAAGACACATGGGATGCAAATTAAGAATGCCTGCCTTCATAGATGGAAGGTTGGTAGTGGAGGTCAGATACCTTTAGTATCAACATATACCATATATATACATAGAACCAAGGAAGAGGCCAATAAGTAGACCAAAACTAGCTTTGCAAAGGATGGTTAAAAAGTTGAGAGACAAAGCTAGATGTTATACTGAAGAAAATGGAAGGCAAAACTTTAGGTTGCATATGTCAGCTTAGTACATGGTTTCTTAAACATTTCCCGGTCATGACCCCCTTTTATCACTGCGATTTTTTCACAACTTTGTGAAACCTCATAAGTATTGCGCAAATCTGACACACGCATGAGTGAAACTGTCAATTTTTCACTTGCACTGTAATATACAACAGTCAAAAGTCTTTAATCCGGACTTCAAAGCTACAAACTTTCTGCGCATGTGCGTTTAATGTATAACGAACGGTATAAGCTAAGATAAAATTATCTAATTATTTATTTCATTTAATGTTGCAAATTGTGTTGTTCCTTAATCTTCTAATTGGATCCGGCTTATTATTTTTTGCAGACTTTTAGAGGAATTTTATAAAAGTAAGCTTGAACTTTCGATTATGTCAAAAAGAATTTTCGATTCTGGAGCTGCCAAAGCAGCTACAAAGCGAAAGCATGTTTCGATGTCTATCAAACAAAAAGTGGAATTTCTGCAAAAAAATGGATAAAGGTATATCCTTTGTTTCTCTAACCATTCCGAAATCTGTTTATCAATTTCACGCTGCTCTGTGGGGGGGGGGGGACATCGCGGCGCGCAATGAACTGGAAGTTAATCTGTCAGCACTATCCTTATCTTCAAGGCAGATGTTTTTACTTTATTTGGCTTATAATTCCTTACTAAATGTAGTATTTCATCTCGATGTACTCAGTCTTTGATATGATTTAAATCAAATTCCTCGTCATTATAAATATCACAAATACACATCAAATCGTTTTCTGGTTGCAATTTTCTAATTTCGACTATGCGTAATGTATGCTTTAAGCATGCACGCGTTGAAAGAAATGTTTAATAAAGTAAACAAATAAATATTAAGCTTTTTTTTTGTAAATTTGATACCCTTTAGATCATAATTTCTCTTTATTTCATAAATTATGGTTTCATATTTTTAATTTTATAACTTCTGCATGCCATCTTATCAGATTTAAACTGATGATCTATAATCTGGAATCGCCGAAACCCTGACGAATCCGGATTAAAGACTTGACTGTATTGCAGTTTTAGGTCATTAATTTCTAATTTTTAAGACATAGAAAAATGTGAAAATTTTAAATAAGTAACAAACGAAATGACAGCGTCACGTGCAAAGCAAGGAAAATTTTTGTTTTTTTTCTTTGTCTGTATTGTCTTTATCTATTTTTAGATACATTGTGTAAAAGTATTTGGTAATTGTATGAGGGCTGGGCTAAAAGTCATGGCAACTATTTTTTTCTTGTAGATATGTGAACAGATCACAAAACATATATGTGTTGTGTGGAAGTTCTGCAGGCATAGTGTGTATGCAGAACAACAGATGGCTCTGTGGTCACGAGGGCTCTGAAATCAGTAGTGGTGAGTGTAGTGCGAGATGGAAGTAACCCATGTTGAGCAGCGCGCTTACATCAAAATAGCCGTTCTCCAACGGAGAAATGCGAATTAGTAGAAATTAGTAGTAAATTATTAGAAACCCTTGGCAATAATGCCCTAATATATCGTACAGTAGCATGGTGGGTGGGAAAGTTCCAGCAAGGACGTGTGTCAACCAGTGATGAGCAATGTTTGGGACGACCGGTGAGTGTGTGGACCGACTTGGCACGTGCCGTCATCGAGCACCTCATGGATGAAGACAGACGATGGATATTACTGGAGTTAGAGAGGGCAAGTGAGCTACAGCTACATAAAATCGCTTCGTGGTGGGTACCGCATGCACTGATGGAGTTCAAAGGTGGGTGCGCTATGCAATATGCTCCAACCACTTTGTACGCTGGCAACAGGACGGCGATCAATTCTTGTCACAAATAATCACCATTGATGAATTTTGGGGCAGAGCATACGAACCAGAACAGAAACGTCAGTCCGCGACATTTTGGATCACCAAGGCAGCAGAAGGTCCGTCAGAATCCTTCCCCAGTCAAATTGATGGTGATCGTCATTATGACATCAAAGGTGTCATTGTTTGCCACTTTGTTCCTCATGGCAGAACAGTGACTGCACAGTACTACAGGTACTTCCTTGTGCAACAATTCTGCACGACAATGTGAGACCACATAAAGCAGAGTAAGAGAAGATAAGAGACCACATAAAGCAGAGGACTATGTATCATACTCCGATACCGCGGCAGCTACTCTGACGTTGGGGACGGGAAGAATTGGAGCACCCACTGTACTCTCCTGACCTTTCACCCTGTGACTTTGATCTCATTCCCAAGATTCAGGAACCAATACGTGGTAGGCGGTTTGCAACACGAGAGGGCATTGTCAATGCTGTGCGTCAACAGATGACCCGATTCACCATTGTGCAGCAAATGCTGAGGCTGATGGTATTCAGCATCTCCCACATCATTGGCAGAGTGTGGTGACAGTAGCAAGGGACTACATTGAGGGTCTTTAGGCTCAGGTTTGTCATATCAATATTACGTATGTGTATTGTGTTATCATTCTTTTGCACAGTGAAGGCCATATTGCCCTGTATATTACCGTAATAAATTCATGTGCTACGATATTTCAGTGCTATTCATTGTCCACACATGAAGTTAAGACCTTGTCCTTTCGTCTGTATATGTCACATTTTCCAACCGGACTGGTATCTTCAAGGGAAAAAAATAGTTGCCATGACTTTTGCCCCAACCTACGTAAAATTATTATAATAAGTTAAAGAATTTTATCAAAACTGCTAAAATTTTTGGCTACCCCCTGCTGCAGGACCCCGTGACCCACAGTTTAAGAAACCCTGGCTTAGTATTAAAAGAATAAATACTGAAGTTTTCTGTAAGATGATGTCATGAAAATCATCTTACAGAAAGCTTCAGTATTTATTCTAGTATGTCATGAAAATCATCTTACAAAGCATGCTTATGAAAGAGAAAACTACAAGAATTTGTAGTGTAGCAAAATGTGGATTAGTACTGCCTCCTTCAAAATATATATATATATATATATAATATATACCTTACTCGGAGAATTAATTTTATAAAAAACAATTTACGCTTTTGGATACCCAAATATTATTAAATGACTACTCCTTATACAAAAATAAAACATATGCATTCTATATAAAATTAATTTTGTAATGCATTTTTGTTAAATTTATACAAATTTTGTGAAATTTTATTTGGCAAAACTTTTTAATTCAAATTTGATTTTATAATGCAATGACTGTATGTACGTCTTTTTAGAATTTGTCACACATTTCAAACTTACATATTACTGTTACAATAAAAATGCCTGAATTATGTATAAGCTGCACATGAAAAGCAAAATCCATATGTAAAGTTTAATACAATTATTCTTTCAGAAAGGCATTTAACACTTCTAAATGATAGTCAAGGACTATGCTGTACAAATTTCTGTAATATATTCAAAATAAACATTTTCTGGCAAAAATTTGCTGCTCTTAATAATTACATCATTTTATATTCAATTTTGATTTTCGATCACTATAATTAGTGAATTTTTTTGATAAATACCCTGCTTTAATATAGTTAGTTACATTAACGAATATTTAAAGGCAAATACACATACCTTATATATAAGCACATATTTGTATATAAGGTAAAGTTTCAAAAATTAACTGAGACAAACAGTAAAATTGGACATTTTGGAGAAAGCACACAAATTCCATCTTTTCTTTTTTAAATATCCTTGTTTAATGACATGATTTCATGATTCATATGCCAGAGTATTTTACCAATTCAGTAAGATAAATATTGCACACATTGGATGATGAAATCATGCCAAATTGTGAGAAACAATTACACACAAAAAAGATAATTTTAGTATCAGGGATTGCTGCTTTTGCCTGAAAAACAGAAAAAAAATAAATTACTTCAATGATATACCATCATTTCAGATACATTAAAAAAAATAATCCAGTTTATAACTAATCTGAAATTTAAACAAAATAGAATCTCAATTTCACTTCTGGATGGCCAAAATTTAACAGCAATTCTTGTGAACCCCAGAAAATTCTCTTACATATTATGAAATCAAGATAGATTCTACAGATATAATAAATTTGTAAAAGAGACATCATTAGCTATAAAAATACTGATACATTAACTTTTAGTTTATTATTATTGCTCTCTTTCAGTCTTTTTTTAGTAATTACTAACAAAACATCACTTTTATTTTTGTAAAATTATTTATATAGTCATTCAAAATAAGTGTAACTGTTGCAGTTACAACTGATTTTCTAATAAAATATAGCCTAATGCTGCAGATAATCTTCTTGTATCAGCTATTAAGTCCCTTGACCCGTAACTAGTAACTAACAGTATTGTTGCTTCAAGAAAATTTTTAAAAAGCACATCCGGCAATAAAAAAAATAATAATAATAATTAAAATAAACCCACAATTAGCCCCCCCCCAAAAAAAACAATCAAAAGATTTAAACTTTATCAACTTTCCTTTAAAATTTAAATGTTTAAAAACTATTTCTTATTATTACAGATTAAAGCATTGTTTATAATCAGTTATGTATTATTTTTTTATTTTCATTTTTGTTTAATTTTTATGGCTATATTTTGTTTAAATATGTAAAGAATTAAATAACAGTATTCAAAAAAGGAAGAAAGATATGTGGTATAAATCACAGCATAAAATACAACAATGCAGATTAAAGCAATGAGATACATTCCGCAAGAGAAGAAGAAAAATGTGGTCACGTGTCTATTTTGAAACTCATTTTTATTTTTATTATTATTAAGAACAATATTGGCATGTGCTATGTTTATGGAGTCGATAGCAGATATTCCGCTGAAATTAATTGATTTTTCGAATTTAGAAATTTATGGCTATTGCGAGAAATTAAAAAATATGTTTGGAAATAATTTCTTCCGTGATGTCAAAAAGTCGGAAGGGTCTTTTGTTATTCAAATGGAAAACATCTGAACAATATTTGTTTCAAAGTAATGCCGGATATCACGGTACTTATAACAAGCCGTGTTAAGGTCAAAATGAAGAAATCAATTAATTATGAAACATCTGTGCAAATTTCTGCAAAAAACGAGGTAAGATTTATAAGCATTTTTTATGCACGATGCTTACCAGTCTTAATAATGTTTCTATTAAGAATATTAAGTGTATATCAGTTAATTGAAAACTATTCCCAAGACCTTGAAAAACGTTTTCCAAACTTTTAAATGAAAGTGTAATAATGGTATATTCATAGTTCATGAATAGTTGTTCTAACTTACTGAAATAGCCGAATTCGGGAAAGATCTGTTTAACTGCAAGAACATAAATACAAAGCCAGTTTTCTCTCATTAATATTAAATAGTGTCATAGAACATTTTATGCTGCTAAAATTTTATATAATTACATAAGGCTATGTTTTAATATTTTAGCTGTTGTAATCGATTTTTAATGAATACACTTAAATATCGGAATGTTAATTTTTTTAATACCTTCCATTGTAGATATTAAGGATACTGTAATATCTTGTTATTTAACAAATAACTGTATCAATTATTGAAGTGGCAACGCCATATTTGTACGCCATGATGCAACTGCTGATCAGCAATAGAGAAAATTGTTTAAAATTTAGAATTCTGAAGTTTGACCAGCTAGTAGATGTATGAAAATTTTGCCACTTAAGATTTGTATACAAATTATCTATCTCCGTAAACTAAAAATAAAATTTATGTTTTACTAAGAAGATTATCTGTTTTGTCAATTACTGCAAAATACATTACATTACCAACAGTTGTAATATTAGAAACATCAGTAATACTAAAACATTTTAATATAAAAGGATGCTTTTATAAGAATTTATACTTAATTCTAAATTTTCATGAAAGATTGCTGAGTTTTTTAGTTTAAATCTTAAATTAGCATGTATATTTAGTCCTTGAAAATCAGTGGTATAGTTTGAGATAACATGCATTAGAATTACACTAGTCTATTTCCTATGGTAGATCTTTTCAATAAATACACTTAAAAGTATTTTTGAGTTACATGATTTTAAAATAAAAAATTCTGCAGATAAATTATGTAACTTACAAGATTAAAAAAAACTTCAAATTTATTTTTTGAATATTTAAAATGTATACAGATAGTACTTTTTTATTATTTATTATTATAAAATGAAGAAAAATATATTATGAAAAATTATTAGTTTCACAGCTAGTACTGCAGTGAACTCAGTTGCACAAATCTCTATATTTTTCTTTGTGACATATATATTATAGTATACAAAATGTGTTAATTTGCAGTTTATACTATCAATAGGATAATAGTCAGTGGCTGAAAATTAAATTTTAAGTTGTATAAAATTATATATTAATTTTGAACTGCGCAGAACATTGGCATTGTTATTCTTACATGGTTTAAAGGCCAACTGCATTTACAGTGCTCCGGAATGTATCTCATTAAATGGGTACGTTTTATTTATTTTAATTTGAACCTTCAAATGCTTTTCTATTCACTTTATCATAACGGGTTCAATGATCACTGGCCAATGACTTCTCTTAAACAATATTTAGAGTCTCTTGTGATATGCACTTGCTTTATTTTGCATTTTGTCGTAACATGCATTTTATCAAAATACATATAATTTTTAAAAATACCAAAAAATAGCATAAAGAAATAATGGAGAAGCAGAAACTTAGCAAAATCATAAATTTTAGTATCAAAGACTTCAAAAATAATAAGATTTTTACTAGAAATCACGATATGGCAATCGCGCAGAGTCCAGTAAATTTTTGCAAGAAATGACGCACAGTTCAATCAATAAATTGTATTTTTGCTATAGAACATGCAACTTATGCCTAGCATTATCACACGTATGAAAAATGCAGAACCAAAAATCTCAGTTCATCATATCAACAACAATGAACATAATGACATTAATTTTTTTTTAAATGAATATAGTTACACTTGCATAAGAAAGCAGTAAGGGTTGTCACAAGAGGCAGTTTTTAAAATCATTATTATCGAATTGCATAATTTCCTTCAAAAGAAAATAAATTCCTAAAACCAACTGTTAAAATATCTGTTCTTTCTTACAACAATAGTAAACAGTTATGTTGTGAATTAATATATTTTTTAATTCACTCCTCTGTATGTTTAATGAAAACACAGTAGCTAAATCTGTAATATGTAGCAAGCCATGTAAATACATGTGCTGCTATTGTTTTTTAATTTATTCTCGCTATAGTAGAAATGTAAAATTTTGTTACATTTTTTAAAAGCTGATGTTGATTGTGTTATAAAACTGAATTATCAGAAATTGTTGATATTGCCTCAGTTTTTCTTAAAAACTACAACCAAAGAATGTCTGTATAATTTTTTTAATTGATATGAATCTATTTAATTACTGAATGGGAACTGTATTTTGAATTTAACATCTTAACTTCCTCAAACTGGTACAACTGTTGTACCAGAAAAATTGCTGTATCCTTTAAACCTGGTTGTGGTACAACTGTCATACTTGCACACTGCTTTCTCTCATAAGAGAAATATCCTATCTTTAATTGCTTCAACTGACAAGGACATCTGTGCGTGGTCTGTGATAGTTATTTACAATAGCTGCTGGCTACTATTTGTCCCCATTTTTAACAGATTGGCTACATTTTGGGAAAGACCAAATATTTTGCAGGAAATCAAATACACATTGTTTCATACATTTCTTATGGCAATTTGTTTCTGAAGTCTCAGTCAGAATATGCACTTGCGTTACAAACAATACAGAGAATATAAAGATAATACTAATGAGATACATTCCGATGACCTCATTGATCATGTGACTGATGTATACCTTTTATAAACAATGCAGATGACCTCAGAGATCATGTGACTTATGTACAACTAATGCAAACAAGGAAGGTCATTCTTCCTTTTCTTGTGGAATGTATATCATTAAAAAATCTTTCATCATACTTTGAAAAATCCTAAATCAAATTGCTTAATTTAAAATTAAATCATGCTCTAAATATCAAATTACAAAATTTCATAATTTGCTAATTAAAAATTGAGACAGGTTATCTTGAACAGCTGGTTTCATTTGCACTACAGATGTACAAATGGATTGGATCAGATATTTTTGAAATTTTCTTCTTTGCAAAATGTATGTTTACATCAAATTTTTACAGCATTTTCCATAAAGGTATATCTCCTTTGGCCAACAATAAATATACACAGCCTTACATACTTTGTTAAAGTTAAATAACCAAATATAAGCAATTCTGATTTTTCTAATACAATATAAAGAACAAAATTAAGTTCAAATCAGCAACCATTATTACATCTTTATTACTGTTATTAATATTTTAATTTGTAATAATTAAATTACTGATGAAAAATAATTATTGTGAACCATATTTGAACATGCAGACCTACAAACTACACCCATATCCATTACATTTTGTAAAGCATTGCTCTCATACTTTCATAGTAGATTTTATCAGTGTTACTTTGTAAATTTTGCTTCTATGTTTTCAGGTAGTCTGTATACTTTTTAAACGGATTTAATATGAATTTTTCCAGAACTGTCACTTTTCACTTTATCTTGTACTCTGACTGAATTTCTACTAACTGACACCTCTGACCCTTTCCTCCAATTCAATCTTGTCAGCTCAAAGTGAACAGTTTACTTTTTATTGGTTCCTCAGGATCCTTACTTTACAATTTTCTGATGACTATTTTCTATGCTCACTGGTAGATAACAGGGCTTAGTTATCAAAATAAAAATAAGATAGAATTTATTCGAGAGCCAATTATACTTTTTTTCCCACTAAAAGTCTTAGCTATTATACCCATGGGTCAGAAAAATCTATAAAGAATAATTTATATGAATTACAATGCTTATAAATAGAGTAATTTACTTACCTTTGCAAGTTGAAAATTCAATATGGAAATAGCTTGTTTGTGTTCAGTATTAAACACAAATTATACTTGTAGTAAGGCAGAGTCAATATTCATCTGTTTAATAGCTTTAATCCCTGTATTTGAAATTTTATACATAGATCACAGATAAATTTGGATGAGGAAAATGTTCCAGTTTCTGTACAAATGAAAAGAAAATAAATTTCATGAATTATATTATCATTATAAATAATCCAGTAATGCAGAAATGAACTATAGACATTGTAGATAAATTTGAAAGCAAAAATAAATTATATTCATACATCTTATTAATATTATGCTCTGATTTGGCAAATTTCTTCCATAGTAGAAAAAATAGTTGGAAGAAATATTCTCTCACTGAAGTAGAGGAAATGAAAGAAACTAATTTTTGAAATTATTTTATATTTATATTATAGTTACGAGAGCAATTCGGAAACCAACCTCCATTGTGGTGTGACGCTAGCAGTAGTGGGCAACCATTATTACATCAAGCAATCCATGATCCAATAAGCTTTCTGTGATCTAGTAAGTGTCCTTCTGTTGTACATGTGCTGGTTATAATGTCCAGGCTTCACATAATTTCATATCACACATTAGTATTGAACTCTTTCTCAAGAATAGTCTTTATATTCTTTCATTTGCTGCAATGATGCCATGGAAAAGCTCAAATTTTTCAAATTTAAGTCTATAAGGTAGTGAATGTTATTGATGAAGCGTTTTGAGGCCAATAAACCTATTGTCAATAAACCAATCATCAGAATTTGCTTCAGCAGAAAATATTGCCTCATCTACAGCTAGGAGTATCATATTTATAACATTATTCTTACCTCCCTTGTTTTGACCTGTATGTAGACTTGGTTTTGCATACATTGCAGAAAAAGATATTACTATTTTTAGAATAGAAAGGGGAAAGAGCAAAATTAAAATTAAGCATTAAGGTGCTATTGCTAATTTAAATTAAAATTTATAGTTATATTTTTTCCTTAGACATCTATATTTATATGTTCATATATATATATTTTTTTTAAACACTTGCTATGAGATTTGTTTTTACATATATGGATTTTGAAATGGAATTTCAGTTCACAACAATCATAAAAATAGAAAATTAATGCATTTATTCAGAAAGAACAGAAAACAAAATTGAATTAATTATTTTGGAGGAAAATTGTATGCATTTTCACATACAACTGCTAATGCATTTTTATTTTTGAATAAGTTAAGTTGTTGCTACTAAATTTATCTCCTTTTGCAGTCCCATGGTGCATCATTATCCCATTTAGTAGTCTCAAAGGGTGCAGCTTTAATTTCAAACTGAATTAAGTATTTTAGAAGAAAATTAGGTATTTTTTTGCTGAAATACTAAAACGTTTTTATTTTCTAATAAATTAAATTACTGTTTGTAGATTTACTTCCTTTACCAATTCTAAGGAATGCATTTGCTAATATCTTCCCCAAAATGATGTAAATAATACACTACATTTTTATAAACATCTGTTTTTATTTAAATTTGTTTTTTTATGCATGCTTAATTTCTTGCATATTTGCTTTTCATGTTTTTATTTACTTACTTTGTGCATATTGTATAGTAATTTTATTGTGGATGCTATTTAAGTTTGAATTTATAGCCACTTAATTTGTTTGTATATGTTTATGTCATGTAGTGTTTTCGAAGATCTTTTGATTTTGAATCAACTAAAAGCTTGAGTTGAGATATTGAGAGAAAACTCTGCTTGGCCTTAATGATAGTCTGTGACATTCTGGTCGTTTCTAGAAAATGCATTCTTGAGGTTCTAGTAGCAATTTTCTATGAGAATTCTAGAAGCACTTCCCTTTCCCTTTGTAAAAAGCTATAAATTTTAGGCTGCATTGCAACCTGAAATCATTTAATCAGTTCAGAGTCATATTTTGCTATTGAGTTTCTTTATAATTACTGTTGCAGACATTTCTTTGGGAGGAGTTTGGTATCTGTGACATACCCTTCCAGATTTGCTAGCAGTGTTTGCGACTTTCATTTGTAGATGTTTATTTTATTGGTAGCAAAGATTATTTTATTGTTCAGTGCCAGATGCATTTGCCAGATGTTTTCCTACTCGAGAGTTTAATTTGAGACCAACTCAAGTAGGAGTTTGTTAATCCATTGCAAGGGAGTTCTAACATTTATAAACAATAGTTTGTAGACTTTAGTTTGTTAATAGTCTGTAGACTTTTGTAAGGGGCATGTCTTTAAAAAAAGGCTTGAAAGGGTTAAGGAGAATTGCAATTTATTTTTGTTATCTATTTGCACTATACGCAGCTGCTTATCTTACTTGTAAAAACTGTTATTTTGTCAATAAAAATTCAAATTTTTCTGTTCAGTTAGCTCAGTTGCTTTAAAAGATCTTTAGAAACCATTTTGCCACAGTTATATAATGGAACTTAAAAATAAGATTTACAAAAATGTTAAAACAAGAATGAATACTCAGCAGAACTGAACCTTTTTCAAAAATATATTTTAAGATTTAATTTATTTGTTTTAAGATTTTTACTGTTTACTTTAAGCTTTTGAAACTCCCTTAACATTTAAAAACACTTAGATATTTTTAAAATACAAATAAAATTTTAATTCTTATGTTCATTAGAAGGTAAATAACTGAATTTCATCCTAATTCAATGTTAGATTTTACATGTTAAATCTTAAAAAAAAAATTGGAATAATTACTTACATTTCCGGAACACAATATTTGTGGGATCGTCAGCCAGCTGAGGAAATTTATCAACATCATGAATGTCCGTGCCATAATAATCTGACACTACTCCTTTAGTGAGCAAATCTTCTTTCTCTGCCTCTGTCCATTCCCTGCTACTTTTCAGTCCTTTTTGCACTAATTTGATTTCTCTCTGCCATGCATCTTTAATTGCTTTTCTTCTTGCATGGCTCAACAGTCGTTTTCTTTCTTCCTCTAGACTGCCTCCATATCGAATATTGAGCAATATTGCTGGACTCCGAAGCCTGAGATCCACATGGCCTTCCCCGGCATGCATGGTTACGTTAAACATTGTACCTAGTCTCTGAAGCTGATCCCAATCCTGTTGCACCCTGCGCTGATCGGGTTGTACTAAAAAGAAAGAGTCTTGTCCATGCAGAGAGAAATGCAAATTCACGTATCCTGTGTCGTTAAGCACAGTAGTCACCACATCCTTCAGTATGGGGCTTGCATCACTAAGGACGTGAACAATAGCATGATCCTTACTTTTAGACAAAAGCAGACCATCACCAAGAACAGAAGGTAGATTGGCAAGCTGGGGACGCAACTCGCATCCTGAAATCAGCCCCCGAATTTCAGTACGTGCAACAGTAGTCAGGCGAAAAAATTCACGTGTCACTATATCAGCAGCACAGCTCAAACCAGATATTACCTGCAGACTTGGTTTCACAGGGAAGGAAATTTCTGGTTTTGCATTAAATGTTTGTGAGAGTGGAAGGTTGAACTTCCCAAGGCCAAATGCTGATATCCACTTGCCCAAATCTAAAAAAAAAGGAATAAAATGAATTCTTAGAATTTCACTCTGTTTGTTTAAAAAAAAGATTAGGTTCTCTTTATTGCAGATCAGTGGAAAAATTATTATCACAAACTGTCTGCATAAAATAAAAATGTCTACAGAAAATACAAAAGGGGAAAAAACATGTATAAATAAACCCAGCAGATAATGCGATAGTATTTGAGAGTTGTAACCAAAAGAACTTAATAGCGAAGAAAACAATTTGGCAGCATGAATTAAAAATAACTTCTTGTTATGAATTTTGTAGTTAGTTAGATATTTTTAGTAGAATTATAATCAAAATTATTTTATTTCCTCGTGCAATGCAGCGCGTGATAAATTTTAAGAGAAAGCTGCGCCGAAAGTAAAAATATAAGAGCATGTGCATTTAACATTGAATAAATAAATATCTCTTTTATTTGTATTGAAACTGAATAAATGACTACTGTATTAGCTGTAACTATAATTCCATCCTCTTGTTGGTTTCCAGAAATCTTGAGAAGCAAAGAAATTACTAGAACTCTCTCTTGACCGATTGAAAACTTTAAAAAACTGGAGAGAGACATCTCAGTTCAGTTGTTTAGTTAGCTGCTGTTGTTATTGCTGATTGGATTAGCTTTCTCTGTGTTGTGCTTTGTGTTCTATATAATGTTTGTAGTAGTTTAAAGTATAAATACTGATTATTACTGCATGAAATTGTAAACACTTGTACAAATATTTCTGAGAAAAATTCCAGCATTCTGTCTTTTGATAAGAATAAATTATATTTTAATCTCTTTTTGTAATTTAAAACATTCATTTTGGTTTTCTCCTTAGTTTACTAAATAAAGCATTTCTGAAACGAATAGTAAAGCTTTTTATTTCATAGAAGATTTACATAGTTTAAAAATCTGAATTTAATTTAGTATTTGCTAACATATCTAAGCAATCATTCCTGGTTATAACTTAGCTTTGTTAAATATGTTATATATTCTTTCAAAGCTGTTCATTATCATTGTGAAATTATTCAAAACATTTCTTTAACTACAAAAATTGTTTTACTGCTTTTAAGATGATATAAATATCAATTGTGGCTCTTGGTAAATTTACAAAGATTACAATTTTTTAATTTAAAATTTTCGAATTCTGCAATATTGTTAAAAAGAAACTGGAAAAAAAAAATCTCTCAATACCAAATTTAAATTTAAAACTTTTATATTATTAATCAAATTAATTAATAGCATGTACCCAATTTTTATGCAACATTTATTACATATTATAATCTTACGGATAATTTACATTTAAATACATTTATAAAATAAGAAAGAATGTTCAAGGGTGTAAAAACTAAATAGAGATTTAAATTTACAACTTTTCGCTTTTACTTTTCAATGACTTGACTACTGTATAAAAACATTTGGATGTGTACTCTAAATTCAAATTAACTAAGCACAAGGTCAGATCAGTAACCAATTAGATAATGAAACAATGTCATATTTTTGTCTGCAGAGCAACAAAAAAATTAACAATTCAAAATTTTCTTTAATAGAAAATAAAATATTCTAGATAACAGCAAAATGCTCCAAATGGTTGAAACAATATATGATATTTAGTTGCTAAAACAATCTATTACAATACTGTGTAATTAAAATTATATAACTATCCAAGATGAAGTATCCGAGTACGTGACATGACATTGACAGTATGTATTCAAATAAATTAATGGGGTTTTAAAAGTACAGTGAGAGCAAAATTTCATTATGAGTATGACTTTTTAAAACTTACCATCTAAATGATAACTGTCTTCATCTTCATTCAAAGGATTATTATTTCGAAACCTATAGAGATGAATCATGTACGGCTTTGAAATATACTTTGGAACATCTTCCCAATTTGGAGTTAGCCACTGGGCACTTGTAGGATTGTAGGCGCGACTTCTGAAGAACAGCAACCCAGTGTATGGATCTCTAAGTCCTTTGGCAAAATCTACAAATATCATGAACGAGGGGTTGGAGTCAAATATAAGTTTTCCAAAAGGTGTCCTCTTTATTTCTTTAACAATCTTTCCATCTGATGTAAAAACTATTAAAGGAGAACCTAGGTGATCAGTTGCAACAAAATACTTATTCGAAGCTGTGTCTTCTATGTACATTAGATGATCGCTGGTATCATATATCAGAGACAGGGTCAGTTTATCTTGTGCAGAGTGTATGTGAGTAACCTGATGTATGTTTTGGGGATTGGTGTAAAAAAACTGTGTAATGTTACCTTTATGATCTCGCCATGCAGCAGGTCTATCAAGAGCATCATAATAATAATAAACTTCATACAACCCTGGTTGTACAGCATGAATTAGCTGAGATTTTGCATTAAAAGTAAACTTTTCTTGTCCTTTTCGGACAAGAAATCCCCTTCCATCAACTTCGTATAAATCCATATCATTATAGCCAACTAGCCGATCACCATCATCATATTTCAGAGTTACTTGGTGATCATCTTCCCAGAAAGTTTTCATGTTTCCATTCACATCATAAAGGAACCTGTAATTCCGATGCCCTAATACTTCACTTAAATAACCATCTGGTGTGTAAGTGCAGTTGGTTGTTTCAACTGAAACATCATGCCCTATTTTAGAACCCATCTGTCTAACACGTCCTCTGTTATCATAGCGAATATTGAGAGAAAATACTTCTCGGTTCCACAAACTTATAGCCAAAAGTGAAATTTTACCATACGAATCATGGGCGATGGTTTTCGAAAAATGTCGCTGGTCATCTTGAATGAAAACATTATTTATTTTTGGCCGATGCACTAAGAACTGTTGTACTTGTTCAAGCATACCAGACTGCACGCCATACCGATATCGAACTTCTCCAACCACTTTAGATCCAATCTCTACTTCAATAATATTAATATGGCCTTCATACTGATAACGGAATTTCGCATTGCTGAGTGCACTACGACTGCTAACCCTAAAGCGTTCTTCTTGCACCAGAACTCCGTGATAGCGGAAATCTGTTCGCAGTTCTAGTTCAGGAACTGTTTTTGTCCATGAGCGGACTAAAATCTTTTGATCCATATATGCAAAATCTGTTCTTTCTGGTCCACAAATCACAGTCTGTATATTTTCATTTTCATCATAAATGTATACTACTCTTCCATTATTCTCAGGATACAATTTTGCAAGAAGTTGACCATTGTCACCAAAATGTAATACGAATGGATAACGTACTCCTGGACTCAGATATAATAATTTATAGAAACCTAAAGATGTCTGAAATGCCAATTCATGCTTGTGGCCATTTGGTGTCACAATAGCTTGAAGCCCCTCAGATGAATCATACTGAAGAAGGTATCGGCTTCCACTGGGTACAATAACTTCACTGGGCTGCAAGGGGAAAAAAAATTGTTAATTTACTTAATATATAATTTCCTAGCTTAATCCTTTGCAGATTGGATAGAAATTTCACCACAATAACTCAGGAAAAAGAGACAAATGTCTTCTTTTTTTTTGGGGGGGGAGCATAATAATCTTATGCCATTTATATCTACCACTTATACCAGAGAGTCATCCGCAAAAGGTTAAATATTGTAATTTTGTTCAAAAAGAAATGACTTACTGATGAGTCTCACAAATTATATTTTAAACATAAACAATGTCCATCACTGAATGTTCTCAATTAACACAACAAAATGCACTACAGTCAAAAGTCGTTAATCTGGACTCGTTGGGACTTCAGCGATTCCGGATTATCGATTTTCCGGATTATAGATCATCAGTTTAAATCTCGTAAGATGGCATGCAGAAATTCTAAAATTAAAAATATGAAACCGTAATTTATGAAATAAAGAACAATTATGATCTAAAGGGTATCAAAATTTACAAAAAAAAAAAAAAAAAAAAAAAAAAAAAAAAAAGCTTAATATTTATTTGCTTACTTTATTAAACATTTCTTTCAATGTAAGTTGTTTAAGTTGCTTCATTTTATGTGCTAATACTTTCTCTTTAATTCTATAAACAGACATAATTTCTTGTTCAGTTACAAAGTTCCGCTGTTCAAGTCCCGTTAATTGCTGTGCCGAGAATACCAACTAACTTGTCAATCGAAATTTTTTCGTTTTCACTAACCTCTCTGTCACATTCTTCATGTCTTTATCCATTTTTTGCAGCAATTCCACTTTTTGTTTGTTGGACATCGAAACATACTTTCATTTTGTAGATCCTTTGGAAGTTCCAGCATCGGAAATTCTATTTGACATAATCGAAATTTCAAGTTTACTTTTATAAAATTGCTCTTACAGTCTGCAAAAAATAATAAGCGGGATCCAATTCGAAGATTAAGGAACAACGCTACCTATGAGGTCCGGATTATAGATCATTCCGGATTATGGGTGTCTGAATTAACGACTTTTGACTGTATATCCTTAAATAAGTAACTTGCATTGTGTGACTTACTAAATCCTAGTAAGTCACACAATGCAAGTTACTTATTATAAGCACAATGCTTAGAAATTGCATGAAGCCAGAGACTAGGACAGTAATATATTACTTAGACAAATAGAACAACCGAAAAAATAGAATGTTTACATGCTTGCAAAACACAATCATAAGCTACAATACTCCCCTTCCCCATTTTAATACATCATTTCTAGAATTCCAAAATTTGTTTTGTTAGCAATAAGCTCCAATGTTATATCATAATAGCTCATATAAGAATTCTAGCTACTTAAAACCATTTTAATTATTTTAGTAGTAATTTACTATTTAAACAGTTAAAACAACAAATAAATTGTGAATTACGAATTAAATTACTGCCAAACTTAAATTTTTTAAATTACTGTAGTTCTAATTTACTTTGCAGACAATTAGCAAATTTGTATTTCAAGAAATAATTTGTGAATTTCTAAAACTTTATTTTGAGAACTACATATACTTACCATACTAATGGCACCTTCATCATACTTGTACATAATTCCTGTGTTATCTGCATGCCTGATTTCTGCAAGACGTCCTTGCATGTCAAAAGTGTATCTTTCAAACAAATAGCCTCTTTCCCAATGTGACAAACGACCATACCGATCATAATCTAACCGTACTTCTGTGAAATTATGTGCTGGTTTCCACTGTAGTGGTTGCCCCAATATATCATAATGTGCAGTCAGCAAAGGCACTTGATTTTTGTCATAAACTGTTTCACTGAGTTCAACTCGGTCAAATTCAACTGAAAATAGCACATCTCCATTGACCTGAAACAGGAAATAATAAATTCGATTTCATCAAACAATAAAACTATGTAACTATGAAGTATCCATTTTAAGTAAACAGAAATAAATATTTTGTTGAAGCAGCTTTATATTGTATGAGTTTATTAAAAGTAATCCACTGTTCTTCAATAATCCATATGCATTTGCCAATACTTATGATAGTTATTATGTTTATTAATCAATAGAACTAACTGGCAACTAAATAAAAAAAATAAGTACACAGATTTCCTCTGCTTTTTGAAAGTTCTTTGATGTTTCTATGAAGTCTTTCACCAAAATGGTACAAAACGAAGAAGCAATTACCATTAATTTATGTGGAAAGGGTTTTATAGAGTGTTTCCAGATCATTTTTTTTAATTATCAAATCACAAAACCTTTCTTAATGCTTAAAATAACATTAAGGAGTAATGATGTGACAAATCCATAAGCCATATAAATAGAAAGAACATATTCTGATGTAGTTCTATCTTTCACAAACTTAAGGGAAAAAAAAAAAAAAAAAGCACAGAAAATGTAAAGGTGGTGCCCTGCATAATGGTTAGCAGAAAAACATTTATGTATGACATATATTTCACAGTATTAAACAATGCCATAATAATAACAATAGGATTTTTTTATAAGAACGTATTAATTATTTTCCATTTATTTCTTATTGGTTATTAATTGTTTCATGTACATCCAAGCAGATACAACCATATAAAAAGAGGGAGAAAGAAAGAGAAGCAACATATTAACATATGTGAAGGATTGTCTGACATGATTGCAATGTTTGTATAATCAAGAATTTTTTTTTTTCCAAAAATTTTTTCACAGATGAAAGATATTCATTTTCAGTTTGCAAAAATATCCATTTATGTTAGATGTAATTTTATTCAAATTGAAAACAGAAAAATATTTGGAAAGCAATTATAAACATAAATATCTAGAACAGCAAGGATAGGGGGAAATAGCAATTATAAACATACCTTTAATATCTTTCCTACATGCCTAATTACTCGCTCAGGGCCTTTGCCTGATTTTTTGACAGCATATTTCCATTCTAAATCCAGAACATTGTCTTCACTCAAAGTAGCCTTCAGTTTTGTTGGTGCAGGATAAATCTCAGCAACAAGGGGATTAACATCACTTAAAACAGGACTTATAACTGTATCTACTTCAATGGTGCTTGAATTTGCAGATGTCACTATAAGGCTACCATCTGGAAACTGTGTCACTCTTTTTTCTGCTGCACCTATAATTATATAAAAAAGTGTAATAAATAAAAATAATTATCTTAACAAACTTTATACAAAAATAATAAAAGAGCTTTTTCACTATGCTGAATACAACAGTCGCTATGTATTACATTTTCAGAATTCAATTTACAAATTTAATGATCTTATAGACTTACCAATTTTAGTGGTAACATCTGAACCTTTAATAAGCAAAACTACAGGATTACGATCATCTCTAGTTACAGTCACAGATGCTCCTTTAATACTTAAATTGTAGAAAAGTCGAATTATCTGACCACTGGGTGTGATAGCTTCAACAAGTCTCCCATATTCATCATAACCGTACATGTAGGATTTTCCGGTACTATCGTATTTGCTTCGTAGAAGACCAGTGCTACCATGGTAATCAAACTGAGTTTTGAAATTTGAAGGTGTTGTAAAACTCTGCAACATAGCCATTCTGGACATTTCCAGACGACATTTTCCACCTTGTGTATTTTCAATAGTATTTACCTGAAAAATTAATAAAATATTTATAATAAATGCACTAGAAACTAGAACTATTATTACACATATTGGAAAAATTTAAAAAAAGAAGGTTTAATAGTACAGAAAATGGGAGAGGCTATGATTTGATGCAACTAAGTAGATTCTGTGATAAGGTATAATGAAACTGGTACACTTGTATAATAAATATTTTACTTAAGCTGAAAAATTACTAAAGTTATATAGCTTCACTATACTTTCTTTTTATGGTACTTATTAACTGATATATATCTATCTGGCTTTGCTTTTTTTTTTTTTTTTTTTTTTCTTTGTTGATCAAATGCACACATCAAGTGATTTAATGCATGCTAAACCAAAGTTCTTTTATGTTTCTCTCCATCTTAAGTACAAATATTTTACATATACAATTATTCCAGTCTACTATAATTTCATCTACCATCTCAAATTCTTTTTGCAAAACTTATGTTAGCTCCTTACACCAGCAATAAATAAATTGTGATACATGTAACAAATTTTAAGCAAACAAATTTTTAACACATAGTCTTGGATTTTGTCTACAGATAGAAATAAATTGCAATAAATGCTTTTGTTTTATTTATACATAACTTTACTGGATGATAATTAGTGCACTCTCAAAAATGTCTAGTAGTATGCCATCACTATAGAAAAAACCAAATGGCTCCAGTTTTATTAATGGGTAAACCCTACAACCCCATATACAAGATTATTATTAATCATAAAAATCATATTGCAAATATGGATTGTCTAAGTATGTCATAAATATTACAGTAATACCAAACAAAGTTTAATACACAAATGCAAATATTAGTTACCACCTGCAATCACATGGCAAGACTGAACGAGTACAGTCTACTCATGTCAAGAAAGAAACTGGCAACAATAAAAATGTTAATGAGTTATTTAATGATTGAAAATCAATAGCTAAAGTGAAATTTGGCTAAGGAATTAATATGCATGTTGTACTTTACCTATCTATCTATTAAATTTTTGACTCTCTCCTCAGAAAGAAAGGAAAAAAAAAAAGTAGTTAGGAACATATATTTATACATACGTTATTGGTGTAGTCACGCAAAATATAAATCTTGTTTCCAGCAGCATCTGTTACAGTACTTAATTTCCCATAACTTGTGGCTACATTGTAACTAAATGAATAAATTATCCTCCCAGTTATTAGATCCCTTGTAGCTTGATGTTGTCCATGACGGTTGAAAAAGTACTCTTCTTGCACTTCAGGGGCAAAAATACTGTATTTGAGATCTCTACCTGGAACAGGAAGAGAAGCAGAAACTGAACGAATCCTTAAATTCCCTTGATCACTAATATGAAGTTTACCATCAGGGGTAACAGTTATTGCAGATATGCTGTTTAGTTTAGAATTAGTTGCGAGGAAGTGCTCTTCATCGTAGCATGAGCATTTCTCTTCCATGCAGCTGCAATCCGATTCTGCACCCGCAAAATGTATGATGCGACCATCACTGCCAATGACTCTCACTCTATTTATTAATTGGGAATCACTCTCAGCAATATAAAGATCACCATTTGGAGCAAATGTAATACTCTGTGGGGATTCCAAATATATTTCAGAAGATATGTCATTTTTATCTTTCGCCATCTGAGAGGTGCACTGGAGTGGTCGTCCAGCTATCACTTTGAGTCGACGATCAGGAGTGACACGCAACACCATGTGGTCATCCAGGATGTGAAGATGTCCATCTAATGGATTAATAGCTAGTGATGTTGGCCACCTTAGATTTACCTAGGGGGGAAACAATTTAAACTTTACAAAATAAAATTTAATTTATTTATCATAAAAACGGATTTCCTAAGCTTAAGCTTAAACTTTAACTACAAGTTGTCTGAAATTTGAATTATTCAGAAGAAGAAACTTTCTAAGTTAAATTTATTGCTGTACTGGTAAAACTTACATTTAGATTATAGGTCAACACAGCCTCTGATTTATTAATTTCCAATAAACAGCTCAATGTTGATAACTAAAGTTACTTTTAATTTCTTCCTTACAAGAATCTAAGGCCAATTTGTATTTAATTTCAGAATGTATCGGTAACCAATTTAAATAAAAGTTTTAATTTGTTAATAGAACGAACTTTGAAATTTTCAAAACTGAAACTGAGACTTTATTTTATTTCAAAGTAAAGATTTAGTTATATTAGTTAAAAATAGTGAATATTACTTTTTCTTTTTGAATAGTAAACCCTTTCTAAGGTGTTAAGACTTAATCTGAAGTTTTCAAAGTCTAAATTTATTTAAGAAAAAGATATTGCAGTTTTTAATTTTGATAAAATCCTAGACAACATTAGCAGACATTATTGCTAATCAATGATGAATAAGATCATTCATTTATATTTGATATTATGATAAAACTTGTATTAAATTTTTAATTATTATTGAAAACAACATTAGGTTAATCATTTAAAAGTCAGTTAACCTGAGTTTCTTAACTACAGTACTTTTCCAGTTTTGTACCATGAAAATATGATAAGTAAAACCGGTTTCTAATATCTTAGTACACATCAATAGATCAATTTTGAATTCTATATCGTATGCATAGCCAACACCTAGAGCAAAATCTGATAGACATGAAATTTTATCGTAAAATAAATATACAATTTTGATAATATATAGATAATATAGATATATATAATTTTGTTTAAGCAATTAAGCAGTAACATACGTATTAATATTTTGACATATTTTCTCTTAATGCCACTTTATGTTCAAAAAAGAAAAGCAGAAATAAACTTCAGAACTGCTTTTAGAATATCTGTTCTTTTTGAGTTCACTGAATTTCATTCAACAGTAAAGATTTAAGTTTTATGAGTTTGTAATTACTTTTATTTAAGAAGTTATTCATATGATTCTTCATGTTTTTAATTTTTAATGGTGAACATTTTTCCCCCAGCTGCTATATAGCAAACTGAAGTTTAATATTGCAAATTTATTATTATTTTGAAGGGGGAGATTTTTTATTAGCATACAGCTTTTATTAGCATACTCTAGTTTTCTCATTATGTTTCACAATTGGCAACACTCATACTTAATATATAATACATATTTACTCTTTCATTGAGAAATTTATTTATACTGTACATTCATGAATATAATCTCTATTGCAGTATAATTCATTTATGAGGCAAAGCAAACTAAGTTTGAATTTTTACTGTTTTTCTTCTCTTTCCTGTTTCATAAGAATAAATTTGAGTAGAATGGAAATGTCCAAAAACGTATATTAGCAATATATTTTCTTTCCTTTTCAATAAAACAAATTATTTTAAAACTAGTCTAGAGACTAAAATAAATAAGTTGTTATATGAATTTAGACAAAATAATTCAAGCACTTTTCTAGAATATTTACATTTCGATGCACTGGTCGTTAAGTGGTTAACACTGCTGCAAACAGATTATTTGGTGACAATATAATGGTACAAGATATGGATAAGACATGGCAGAAAAACAAATACTTAAAAATAGAGATGAATGAAATTACATAATGCATCTAATAAAGTTTTAAAATGGCATTTTCACCCAATTTTAGTAAAGCTGTTGAATGACTGATAACTGATAAGTATTACAAACACCTTTCAATCTGATTCCATTGAAGTATTGTCTGCTTACAGAAAGAAGCTTTGAAGTCTTTGTTAGATTTTATATGCCTGTTATTAGGGATTAAACCAATAAACAGTGAGAAGAGAAACTTTTCCTTCAAATTATTACTTATTAAAAAAAAAAAAAAATAGCACTCTTATTCTCCTCCTTAAAATGTACCATGTGGAGAACATTTAAAAAATTATTTTAAAAAATCTGTACACTGAGACTTGAGATGGTTCCAAGTTTACAAAGAAATTCAAAAGCTTTAAAAACATGTCAAGACTTGAGAAGTATCAGAAAGATAATATATAAAAGATTAAAGAGCAGTACAATTTCTTGCTTTATATCTCCATTTATTTTTAGGTTTGTCCTAAAGCTTTGTACATGCAGTAAGTACTATGACTTTTGCGGTACATTGTTTTATAGGTTTAACCCTTTGACACGCGGTGTGCGCCTTGAAACCACCAATTTTCGAATTTTTTCTCCTCTTCCTTCCGAAATTTTTGAGTTAAAATCAATTGATTACTGATCTTTTACCTCTAAATAACACAAAATGACTACAGAATCATAGATGTTTTAGGTCTTGGTACTTCAAATCGGACGTCTTTTAAAATTCATTTTCAATGAGACAAAATAACTTCCTTTTATTAATATAAAACACTTTAAATTTCAAAAGTTATTCATCGCACATCATGATTTCTACCATAAACAATAAAAAATAGCAATAATTAAACTGCATATTTAAAAAAAAACCTCTATATGTATGGCATTTGCTTTGTGGTTTCAGGGCATGACCACTGCGCCACTAGAGCATTGTGCCAAAATGCTTACAATCCTCTAGAGGCTCGGTGATCGCACCTTGAAACCACTGGCATTTGCTTGCTTTTCAAACAGGAATGTTTATTTCTACCCGGATATAGATAAGGGGTTTTGAAATCACAGTTATTTTATTACTAAACAATACATGCACCTGCCCAGTAAAAAGGTCTTTCTTTTCCAGAGACTTTTCTCTGACCTCAACACACTTGCTTCCCAAGGCTAGTATTGTAATTTTATAAATTATTTCCTGTGGTTTAAAAAAAAAAAAAACAAAAAAAAAAAAATAAAAAAAAAAAAAAAAAAAAAAAAAAAAAAAAAAAAAAAAAAAAAATTTATGTAAATACACTTTGCTGTAATTAAAAATAGAAATTGTGTAAGGTTTTATTTAAATTAAAAATATTTTCTGAATATTTTGAGACGAAATACAAATAAAATAAGTATGAATGGAAACGGATGATCCGTACCAAAGCCAAAAATACCAAGCCCCCTCCCCATTAACATAAAAAAAAAACACAAATTTCATGTGCCAGATGAAAAGAAACTAAATAATGTTGAACATATACCAGTGAAATTTAGATCCAATCAGTGTACACACACTTGTAGCACAAGGAAGAAACATCATAGAAGAAGATACATGTGTGAAACGTGCAATGTGGGTCTATGCATGTACCAAAAAGGCAAAACATGCTTTAAACAGTGTCACAAAAAATATTTGTTCTTTGCAATTAAAAAAAAAAAAAAAAAAAAAAAAAAAAAAAAAAAAAAAAAACACTGAGTCTTTTTTTTTTATCCTTATTTTACTGAGTTTTTTAAATCCATGTAGCCAAATGTCCTTATGATGTAAGAACTTATACTTCCACAGCTATAGAAAAATTACATAAATGTTTACTTTTTAATTTTTTCTGACTATTTAGTTTGTAAAAAAATGTAAAAAATACATACCGGGTGGCCATAATTAAACTGACAGTGCTCACAGTGTTCTGTAGCGCGATCTATTTGCAAGAATGCCGTCACATTTTGTAGGAAGATTAAACAAGACGGGGGACGAAGGATTCCGTGAAAAAACAAATTAGTTCCAAAAGTCACCGCTAGGGGAATATTTGGCACTGTGTAATAGAAAATAGAGTGTTAACAAATGCAAATCAATACGGAATAAATTAAGGACCTTTGCTGATTTATGCCACATTTTCTGACTTTTAGCACCAAAAATGCAATATGGCAACACTTTTAAAAAAACGTAAGGAATCTACATAAACACCGATAAAGTCTCGTGATCTGCAATTTAATATCACGTACGCTGAGCAGAAGAAGAAGTTCTTTATTTCAAACTTCACGTTACATCCATTCGCACAGTGCTAGCTGCTTGGAGTTTTAAAAGGCAATGTGTTATGTTTTGAATCAATCGGATTGAAAGTTTATGCGCAATGTCTCCTTCTTTAGTCGAGCGTGCGTTACTAGTCAAATTCTTTTACCTCAACCAATGCAAAGCATCAGCCGCTCTTCGTGCTTTTAGAATGCACAAAAAAATGCGTAAAGGTAACGGTCCCGTGTCAGTTAATGCAGTGCTTTGCAACCTTTTCTCACCTGCAACGCACAAAAAATCTTTCTGGAATTTCGTGGCACACCAAAGAGTTCCAAGTTATCAAGGAAATGCCGAAAAAATTCAAATGCTGACACACTTACAATCACATACACAACCACACAACAGTGAAATATATAAAAACATTTAAATAGACATTATTAAGGAAAAAATTGTCATTGTGTATTAAATACATGATAAAAATTGCAAAATGTCAAATACATGTATTTGATTGCGGCACACCTATATCCTACTCATGCACACCGGTTGCAGAGCACTGAGTTTGGCTAAAAGCAATGGTTTGCGATGTTAGAGAAAACAGGTTCTCTGAAGGTTCAGTCAGGCAGAGGACGAAATATTGTACCACAGGATACAATCGAAGCAGCTGCCACGACGATTGTCGACAGAGGACCAAACAATATTGCTGCCACCTCTAGTACTCGTGGAGTAGCTCGGAATATGGATATACCTTGCAGTACGGTATGGAAAATCTTACGAAAGATTGGGTGTGGGTTCACAGCAGAATTTATCGTAGGTTCATTCTTCTATGAGAACAAAACCCCGACAGGACAGGAAACCTGTTCTGTTACCGGAGAGAAATATCGCCACATGTTGAGCAGCTTTGTCATTCCGGCACTTCAGCAAAGACAATGCCTGGGAGAAATCATTTTCATGCAAGATGGAGCCCCTCCACACTTTGCTGTATGGATGCAACAGATGCTACGACAAAATTCACAACAGAAAGAGGCATTAGCCGCTATTTTCCAACTGCATGGCCACCTCAGTCGCCTGATCTTACCCCATGTGACTTCTGGCTATGGGGTTACCTTAAGTCAAAGGTCTGTCAAGGAGAGGTCCAGGTCCTGGCTACGTTGAAGGATAACATATCACGGACTGTATGGGAGATTCCTGCAGACACATTACTTTCTGCTGTTGTGCATACTGTGCACAGAATGCAATATGTGGTCCACAACAACAGCAGCCACATTGAACCTCATTTGAATGCAAAATAAAAGGTAATTTCCGTATTGATTTGCATTTGCTAACACTCTATTTTCTATTATACAGCGCCAAATATTCCCCTAGTGGTGACTTTTGGAACTAATTTTTTTCATGGAATCCTTCATCCCTCGTCTTGTTTAATCTTCCTACAAAATGTGGCGTCATTCTCGCAAATAGATCGTGCTACAGAACACTGTGAGCACTGTCAGTTTAATTATGGCCACCCGGTATATTATGCAATTCTTACATGCATTTTTTTTTTTAATTCGTAAATTTCGTCATTTATTGGAAAGGCGTGCGGAAAAAGGTAAGTTTTTTTTCCCTACTACCTAGGTAAGTTTCAAAGTCCTAGACACGTGGTGGTTTCACAGTACGACCACCACCCACAAAACAATGGGCAAGAGTAAATTTTTTTAAATTCATATATTATTTGTCTCAAGGATCATAATATTCAATTTCTAGAGTTTTTAGTTAAAAAAAATTATTAAAATAATATCGTGCATGTCAAAGGGTTAAAGGTTTATCAGTATGTAATTACACATATTTTAAGGAAAATTACTATGTCACAAAAAAATTCAAAATCGCGTATTAACCGTACCTGCTGAATACCATCAACAATCTATTGCATCCTTTTGGCACTTAAATATATTTTCAATGTCAAGAGCTTGATAGAACCCTTTTTTTTAAATTTATTTTTTATTTTTATTTATTATTTTTTATTTCTGAAGTGTAGTGTTCGGTAACTGCATACAAAAGCACATCAGATTATTATTTTATGTAGATTTCCTGCTAAATAAGACACCATCTGAACTCTCTTAAATCAATTCCCAGTTTTTAATCTAATATACTTTACTGGTTATTGCTGTAAAACTTCCGTCATAAACATTTCATTGTTCAATAATTAATTGGAAAACTCACCATTTTTTTGGCACTTACAATATGCTTTGAAATAATTAATTGTTTCTATTTTATTTCCCAGCAAATCTAGCAAATGCATGACACAAAACACGGTAAAAATTAACAAGACAAGAAATGTCCTGATAATTTTTCATGCAGTTATTAAAATAAATCACACAATGTAGATGTGCTTGCTCTAAATGGTCTAATTTTAGCTCTAACTGCTCTAAAAATAAATTGCAGGGGGAAAATTTTTTTCATCACCATTGTTCCTTTCTAAAATAAATAAATAAATAATCAAAAATAGAAAAAATTACGAAGGAGGGGGAAAAAGAGACAAATAATAATCTAATATTTCCAAGATTACTCTGAAACAGTTTCTATGGTTGTTGGATGCTAGCAGGAATCAGGATGACAGGTGATGGTTTTAGTGACGTATCAGTAGGTATTGGCTAACACACAAGTAAGGAAAAATTAAATGATGATTGCAATTGATTAATATTTTTCTTCACAGATTTAATATACCTGAGATAAACTAACAGTTCTTCCACAAGGTACTGGTTTCCAATGGCTTTTATGATAATAATCTCCAATAATTGTATGAATAAGGCCAAATTTATCCACCATTCTAATATTTGTACCATCAGCAACATAAATTTCATTTTCAGCAGATATTGCAATACCTAAAATTCATAAAACAGTAGTATAAATTCATAGACAAAATATTTAATAATAATTAAAGTAATTATGTCATGTCTTGATGCAAACAGCCATTAGTTTACCTTTAGGATAAGCCAGTCTAGCTAAGGTTGCTAGCCTCCCATCACCGCATGTCAACTTATCTCCAGGAAGACATTTCTCACCACTTCCTACGACAACTTCTAGATTGTCTTGGATGTTAGTAACCTCTTCTTTCATTCTTAAAATCTGATGTTTTTCTGGATCAGATATGTATAATCTTCCATCGACTGGACCTACAGCTAGATGGTATCTATATGCAACCTGTGCAGTACTATTAAAAAAAAAATTTTTTTTAATATCTTGTTGGTTAAAATAATTCAGTTTATATTTTAAATAACTAAGATTAACCATAAAAAGCAGAATATTCTCAGATTGTGACTGGGATTTACTGAACACTCATTGCAGAATACATGAAAGTGAGCAAAATGCACACCAGCTACCCAGGATATTCTGCATTTTTCAAAAGTAAACGCACACACACACACACACAAAAAAAAAAAAAAAAAGGGGGGGGCGGAGGTTGAAAGACATGTGGCATTGAAAAGGTTCATGACATGCAAATTCCCTTAAAGATATAAGAGTCCATTTCATAGCTTTTATTGTAGAAGTTATTCATTCTCACAGGTACAACATGGGAAATATGGAAATTTTAATTTAATTGGTATATTTAATTTTGAGACATATCCCATACAGTTCTGTGCAACATTAGTTGGGAAACACTTCAACACAACTTTCGTGTATTACAATTTTTGATAGAATATGGGGCAATAAAAATCACATTAAAAATAATGTGTTGATTACCCATACACTTTAATTTTAAGGCTAAATTGCAAATCAAGACAACTTAGGCTCTGAATTTTCAAGAAGGAAAATTTCCCATATTGTTGCACAAATAGCAGTTCTTGCATAGTGTAATTCCATCTCACTTTAGACTGCATAAAATCTAAAATATTATAAACATGAAATCAATGAAAGGTTATGTGTGTAAGTAGATTATCCAAGATATAATTTTAGATGATAGGTTGGGATCCTATTGTCTATTGAAGATAGTGAAGAAATCAACAAAAATGAAACAATAACTAAATTAATGACCTAAGAATATTATTAAATTTGTGAAAGCCTGCAAGGTTTAGGCATAATTATGAAGTGATTATTTCTATATTACCAAAATGCAAATATTTTTGTATTTAGAAATAAATAAATTCCATATGTAACTGATTAAAAAATAACTTTTTCTGGGTATTTCTCATGTGAACATCTCAGTATATAAAAAGGCTTAAGCTATGTTGAATAGCGAAATTAATTATCTGATACCAACTAAATTGGGTTTACTAATATTTGGAGTTTAATTTCAAAATAGCCATAACAACTGGAAAAAGAGATGTTGGTGGATCTTTAGCAGGTTTGTAATGCATGGATGGTGTTAGAAACATGCTTTGTAAATTAAAATAAAACTAGAAATGCTAATAAAAATTATCAATTGGATATACACTGAAGAGCTAAAGCATTATGACCACCTACTCAGTAACACATGGCCCACCAGCGGCCGAGCAGTAAAGTTGCTGAACACTGGTAGTTTGGTCCTGGGTTCAAATCCCGCAAACCGGCTGGCTGCATGGGCGTTTTCATGGTTTTCCCTATGTATAACGTGTATACGAGCCAGTTTCCCTTAGAAAGTCCTCCACGAATGCATTCCTCCCCTTAGGCAGATAGCCCTCGAGGCTTTGCCATAATCACACACACAGTAACACATGTGTGACCTTTCGCTTTCAAAATAGATGCAACTCACCTTGGTCTGGATGCCAAAAGTTCTTGGTAGATGACTGAAGACAAATTGTATCAACTCTCGGGTTTGCATGACCGCTGCTTACGGTACAGGTTGTACCCAAGCAGTGGTGATGCAAAGCTGAGATATTTGGACATAGTGGTGTTTGAGCTCTGAGTTGTCGCTCCATGACATCCCAAATGTGCTCTATAGGGTTAAGATTCAGTGAGTTAGGTGGCCAGGACTTTAATAGAAATTCATCCTCATGCCACATTTCGAGCTTTGTGATATTGGGTGTTGTACTGTTGGAAGATTCCACTTTTAGTTGGGAGGATAGAAACCATGTAAGGAGACAACTAATCCACAACTATGTTCAAATAGACCTCAGCTTTCATGGTCTGTTCTACCATAATTAAGGGTCCCGGAGCTGCTCATGAGAATGTTCCCGAAAGCATAACACCACTAACAACAACCTACTGTACATGGGCGGAGCAACTGTTTGGCTGGAAGATGGCATACCTTGACACGACCATCGACATGATGAATAAGAAATCATGATTCATCCAACCAGGCAAGTGTCTTCCACATAACCATGGTCTGGTCTTGAGATTCCCAAACCCACTGTAGGCGTTGTTGACAGTGATGCTTGGTCAACAGAGGTACACAAGTGGGACTTGTGCTACACAGTGTCTCATATCTAACAGTGCCTGCTGAACTCTGTGTTCTAAAACACTTGCACTTGGACCTGCACTGTATTGGGCTATCAGCTAAGCCACTGTTAGGTGCTGACTTTGCTGTATCAAGCGAGACAGTCTCCAATGTCCTTTTTCATTGGTGACACGTAGATATCCAAAACATTGGAGTCTAGTGCTGATTTTACCATCATTTATCTACTCTGCATAAATACTAACAATGGCAGATCATGGACGACCTACCAGTCATGCAGTTTTCGAGATACTCGTTCCAAGTCTTCCAGCCATTGCAATCTGCTCTCCGTCAAATTTGCTTATATCAGCAACCTTTGACATCACTCACAAAAGCATGTGCAAGAATGATTCCTTACCTTCTCCAGCAGCAGTTAAATAACACTCCCACTTAATCGCATGCCCTGCACAATCCAGATGAGTTCATTGAAAAATGTTGGGATGGTCATAATGTTTTTGCTCATCAGTGTGTAAGTAAATTACATTTAAAATTTTTTCAGTCAGTTTAAAATAAAATAATATGAAAGGTAGCCATGAATATTCTTAGATATATAATTAAAATAAAATTAAGCCAAAGGGCACTAATTACATTAAAAACAGTCACCACCAACATATCACTTTGAAGGCTTCCAGAGTGATAATGGCACTCTATAATTATCCAGACCTGCAAATACTACTTTTGAATTGCTCAGTTCATGAAGCAGTTACAGATTAATTAACCATTTCTTTGCTCAATAAATTTCAAATGTATTTTTTGGTCATAAAATTTGAAAGAAAACTGCATTTTTAGATAAATTATATGCAAAAATTCATTCATATTTCAAAAATAAAGTATACATATAGACAGAAAAATTATAATTACCCTATAATGCTAGCTTTATTTCACATATTTGAGTAGTAAGCTTATTTTACATAAAGGACTTCTATTATGCTGGCTTTAGTTAGTTTTTACATAGCTTTACACTGCATATTTATAATACATCTGGAGATTTTAGCTATTATTAATTTTAGCTAAAATTTTTTCTTAGTAAATTCAATTTTAAAACAAGGAACGGTGCAGGAAGAATATTTTTAATGTACTTGTAAGACAAGGAACAGGAAAAAATAAATTAAATAAATAAAACATGCAAATTACAATAAAGATGTTTCCCTAAAAATTCAGTACCCCCCTCAAAAGAAACTGATTAATTTCTTCTTACAGTCAGGTAATGCCATCTAGAAACAGAAAAGATAAACTACAATAAGTAATACCGTGTAGTCAAAAACTAAAACTTTGGAAATGAAAATGGCCATACCACATACGGGCAAAACAACTAAGCAAAAAATGGCTGTTCATGTGACATACACGTAAAACCGTTAAGCAGTTAAATATGAAAATGAATTAAAGGTCTTATGTTTTGTAAAATAATAGCACTCTGAGAACTGGGCACTTGTAAGGACACATAGAATATAGTTTGTTCCCAATCAGGTGAGAAGGGATAAGTGTGTAAGTGGGTGTCTACCTTTAAAAAAAAGGGGGGGAATCTGTTTACTACAGAATGATGGGGAAAATTACTGTTACAAAACATCAGCATAAAGCAAAATTGTCATTGAAAAACACAAAAGAGAAAAAAATGATATAGGATAACAACAATGATAAAAGATGATGCTATGGTATTTGGGAGTTCTTAGCTCCTTCATTTCTTATGTAGCTTATTCTTCTGTTATTGATAGTCTATTCTTTTTCTTTTGAAAACTTATTTAATTTATATAAACAAATGAACTTATTTTTCAGATTAAGCCTGCTTCAAAAACAGAAGTAAATTGTTAATAGTATTTTCTGTTGATAATAATAAGGGATATTCGCAATTATTGTGAGTTTTTTTTTTTTTTTTTTTTTAATGGCTTTCAGATTAACTGTGATTTGAGTTAATTGTGGACATCATTCTTGGTATTACTCTGGTTATTTGGGAGCTCACTGTAGAAATTTAGGTTCTTTTTATGCAGTGGTGACTTTTGTCCTGTTTTTTTTTTTTTTTTTTTTTTTTTTTTTTTTTTTTTTTTTTTTTTTTTTTTTTTTTTTTTTTTTTTTTTTTTTTTTTTTTTTTTTTGCATGGTTTATAATGATATATGATAATTAACACAAGCCCAAAATTTTGAAAAGACTGGTAAGCACATTTTTATAGTAAATAAATATAGAAGATTATCTTGAAAAGTATTATTGTGTATTTGTTAAATTTAATTAAATATTGAAGTACTTCTCTGACCCCAATAGAATCAATATTTTATTCTTTACAACATTATACAGTACAAAGTCTTTAATCCAGACTCGCTGGGACTTCGTCCATTCTGGATTAGGGGTTTTTCCGGATTATAGATCATCAATTTAAATCTGGTAAGATGGCATGCAGAAATTATACAATTAAAAATATGAAACCGTAATTTATGAAATAAAGAGCAATTATGATCTAAAGGTTATCAAAATTTACAAAAAGAAAAAAGCTTATATTTATTTGTTTACTTTATTAAACATTTCTTTCAATGTAAGTTGGTTTAAGTTGTTTTGTTTTATGTGCTAATACTTTCTCTTTAATTCTATAAACAGACATAATTTCTTGTTCAGTTACGAAGTTCCGCTGTTCGAGTCCTGTAATTGCTGTGCCGAGGATACTGACTAACTTGTCAATTGAAATTTTTTTGTTTTCACTATCCTGTCACTTTCTTCATGTCTTTATCCATTTTTTGCAGCAATTCCACTTTTTGTTTGATGGACATTGAAACATGCTTTCGCCTTGTAGATCCTTTGGTAGCTCCAGAATCGGAAACTCTTTTTGACACAATCGAAAGTTCAAGCTTACTTTTTATAAAATTGCTCTAACAGTCTGCAAAAAAATAATAAGCTGGATCAAATTAGAAGATTAAGGAACAATGCAATCTGTAACATTAAATGAAATACATAATTAGATAATTTTAGCCTAGCTTATACCATCCGTTATACATTAAACGTGTATGTGTAAACGTATTATGCACATGCGTAAATGCTACGCATACGCAGAAAGTTTGTAGCTTTGAGGTGCGGATTATAGATCATTCTGGATTAAATATATTGTATATACTTATTCATAATATTTATTTACATTTTACATGCATGTTAAATCGCATGATAGAATACCGACCTTTGTTTTTTGTGGAGAGAAGAAAAAGTATTGCCATTCCGTTTTAACTAAATTAGAAACTTGACAGAACTGAAGCAGCGCTACAAATATTGCAAAGAAAACTTTACAGATTTAAAACTTAAGATGATAAAATTCTCTAAATATGTCTGACATAATCTACATAAGCACTTTCTATAGGGAAACCAAAAATTGTACCTTAACTGTACAACAGTTGTCACCATTCCTTCAGCAGTTATTTTTCTGATTAAGTTGAAATCTCCTACATAAATGCTACCATCAGGAGCACTTGCAAGAGCGACTGGAGCTAGCAACATCTGTTGACTCGCAGATCCATTACAATTCTCACACTCGAGGGGTCTACGGATTCCATTACCCATTGTTGTCAGAAGAAGTTTAGGTTTCATTTTCAGGTAAACAGTACTACCATCTCCTTTTTCTAATATGCCTGCAAAATAAAAGTGATATTGGCATAATGATGTTATCTTGTTTTTATAAATTCTACATGTAAAAGATAATTAAATTTATAAAATCATATAATATGTACTTGTACCTAAATTTAACAATTATCATACTTAGTAGTCCATTTTTCGTTAAGTTTATTACCAGCTGAAATTTTATCAACAAAATTTTTATATAATACAATAACAGTTTGGCTTTCTAAGGTTCTAAGGTGTAAGTTAAACACCCATGCAAATAAAATAATAAACTGTATTAAAAATTTCTTAGCCTATATTTGATTTGACAATATAAAATAATTTCTAAACTAAGCTCTCTCTCTCTATATATATATATAATGATCTCTCTCTAAAATTCAGACAGATGCTCACACTTTCAGATGATTTTGGATCTTTGATGAAAGTGCTTTTCACGGAGAAGTGATGTTTACGTACTGGCCACTTTATGTCAAAGATAATTACCATGAGATGGTTCACTGTGCTTTAGTCTTTATCAGTCAGGATTACATACACATACCGCTTCAGCACACAGGATAAAATTTTTGTAAGTTATGCCTGTCTCTTAGATATCAAAAATCAATGCATCTGTTAAGTTTCCAATTTAAAAGTTAACAGATGTAGTAAGTTTGAAATGACTCTGATTGTATATTGCAACAAGTGACACAAACAGGATATGCTGTTTACTAATATTCTCAGAAATGCTGATCTCTGTAAAACTTCTTTCGGAGATAATTATGGTGAAAAGATTTATAGTGTTTGTAAAGAATGATATTCAACAAAGGATATGCATATCATTTGAAGGTACATGGTAAAAATTTTGAAGGGCATAATGTAAGGCAAAAAATCAAAAATCTAATGACAAAATTGTTTGGATTTAAAAGTAAGACTGATAATATAGAAAAATGAGAAGCTTACATATCTCACAGAAATGATGAATAAACTTGAAATTTTAGGCATGAATAGGCAATGAATTCATTATGCTATACTAATACATTATATTTTATTGCCAAAACTTAGCTTAATTACTATTATATTCTTAGCTATATTTTAAGTATCTTAAAATGCATTTTGTATTTACAAACAGAAATAGATTTATAGTGCCTTGCATATGTGAGGGGCCCATATTTCAAGTTGTGTCCAAACTATTAATTTTTAAAACAAATTAAATAACTCTGTCTGTTAAGACATGAGGGGTCTCACAAGTTCATGTGAGATGAGTTCTCCACTTACCTCTATCTCTAAATCTACCTCTGTTTACAAAGATATATTTTTATTTCACATGCTCGTTTTTTGTAAGACCTGCAAAATTCTACATTTTTCAGCAGTGATTACTGCAAATAGCATAATTACTTATTTATTTTTATAGCTTAAGAGTATACTTTAAAAGTATATATTATTTAAAACTTAAAATATTTTGGTGCATTTTTACAAAAGAATTCTTATTTACTCAAAAACATTTCCTTATCATTTTCTTTGAACAACATTTTCCCCTTGCACTGGACATTATTTTAGGTACTTAACCTGTGACATGGATTCCACTGTATCAAAATAATATAGCAGAGGTGTATATATATTTTAATGTTTGTCACCTATGCAGCAAGTTGTCATATTTTTTTTAAATTTCAACAAGAAACAAGCATGCATCAATAAGAAGGTAAAACTATTTCTAAATTAAGTTTAAAAAAAAATTACCTCACTCTACATATATAAAAATCAGATTCATTGTTTCATTTGAATTATATATGGAAATGGATTATGCAAATAAAAAATAACTTCGATTCTTAACGTTGTCTTAAAAAGTTGTTTTGGATTATGCTTTATGGAAATAAAAATATTGTTGCGCTCTACAGGCTTGTAGATTTGGAGTGATTGACAACAACACCTGACAAAGAATCAAAACACAATTTATTTGCCACTATTTCGCAGGAGAGTTCCAAAGACATGTTTACAATCACTGAAAAACTATGATATACATGCTGAAGCAATCAGCAACACAGCCTTCCAGCTATGAGGCTGTAACGGTGAAAATAGCTTCACAGTAAAACACCGAGTACAGCTCCTGACTTCGTCAATTGCTCTCAGAGCTGAACACAGTACCTCGAAGATACTCTTCACGATACACTATTACTCTGCGTACAAGCAGGGTTTATGTAGCTCTTGAACTGCCTTCAGGAACATTCTGGAGCAAACCGGTAAGAATTCATTCTAGAATTTTCTCTCTCAATCTATGGCATATTGCCAATTTTGAGCCAAATCTGGAACCCTGCCTTTCCCTGCAATTTTCTGGCAACCCTAAATCCACTTTGCAGGGAAGCTATCATATTCCAGGCATTTGTAACAATATTTTAATTATTTTGACATATGTTTTTTAAATAATGATATAATATACGAAATAAAACTCCCCAACTTGCATTGTGACACTATGTGTATTATTTGCCCTGCAGAAACAAATGAACTATTTACATAAATTTTGAATATACAGATAGACGGCTGTGTCAGTTGAGCTAGAAGTTTGGAGTTTCTGACATACTTAAAAACAAACAAAAACAAATGTATCTATTAAGAATCCAGTTTAAATTAGAATATATTAAAAAACATCCCCTACAGCCTTATCATTTATTCTTTTTGTTAGTTTATTTCTTTATTTTAGTAGTCCAAAATCCAATTTTTCCATAAAGTCTTGGAAAAGATATCACTTCACATAACTCCCTTTCTAAGCAAGTTTCAGTTTTGTTGCCATAGTTAATATATTTACAGATTTCAGAATGAAAAGAAAAAAAATATGCTTACCTTCATGAAAATTATATTTATGATGAATATCTAAATTCCATCCACCAATGTCAGATATACTCATATCATGGCCTCGTACTTGTGTTGTCTGAATTTCCCATATTATGTGGTTGCATGAACTGTACTCATATCCAACAGAAACTGAAAGGAATTTTCATTTTAGTTTTTGAAAAATCTGAAAAGCACTTCTATCTAATGCTTTTATCATTAACATTCAAATTAGAAGATCCAATTCCTGAAATAGTACCATCGTCTTAGTCATGTACCTGTTACATTCAGTCTTCCTTTTTAGTTTACACATTAATACACACAAATGAAAAATGGTTACTAAAGTGATTGAATTCTACTTACTGATAATGAAAAGAATACAAACAAAACAGATATTACTAGGAATAACTAAGGCAAATTAAGTATACTAGTTTGGGTAAATTAAAACAATCTTTATATAGCATGTTTTAAAAAGTGGTCACATAAAAAAAGAAAATAATTCAGATGACAAGAATAACTTTTATACAATTTTTCTTAGATTATGAAGTTTTAGTCTTATAAAATGTAAGGAAGTTAAGGACATTCCTTTTATACAGTCTTATAGGGAAGTGGTTGGCTTACCATTTTGGTAATCTCACAACCTGTGTTCAACTGCCAGTAAGGACTCAAATGTTAAAAGAAATACCATTACAAATCTCAAAATATCTGGTGCCCAAATGAAAAACTGTAGATGATAATTGGGTCACAAACTTGGATTGGTAGACTAAGGATCCCCTCAATTACCATACTTAAACAATACTTAATAAATACTGTTTTAAAACAACTCTATCTGAAGATCATATCAAAAAAACTGTGCTGTGGAAATACTTGACAAGGTGCATATTTCACAATTTATTATGCTGCTCTCTCTCTCTCTTTTTTTTTTTTTTTTTTTCTTTTTTTTCACACCAAAATTTTTTTGCACTTGGTTATAAGTAAATTACTGTAGAATATTTCATAGGCAGATATTATTCCATGCAGATGTGCTTGCACAGAAAAGTACTCATTAATCACAGATAGCTCTATTTAGTTATGGTTATTAATATTCACAGAAATATAACACTTATAATTTTATGTAGCATTATTTTGTATGTTCATGAGTGGTTTTTACAAAGTGTGTCCTTCAAATATGAAATTATAATTTCTAGTTACCTGTTGCTGAGGCAATTCCATAAACTTTTTGTCTGTAAACATTTCTTCTATTCCAAGCATATGTATACTTGATAGCAGGATCTGCTTCAAATGTCTTCTCAAACAGAATGCCCTCAATGGATATCCTCAAATGAATCAGACGCAAAGTGGTTGGTATCGAATCAGGAGTCAACTGCAATTGAATTGTTGACAAATATCCGCTAACCCTACTGCTATGATAGACTAGATGCAAATCAGTGCCTGGGATAGACAGACTTTCTTGGATGACCTAAAAGAAAAACATTAAATTCATTACACATTCAATTAGGGAAACAGAAGATAATACAGTCAAAAGTCATTAATTTGGACACCCATAATCCGGAATGATCTATAATCCGTACCTCAAAGCTACAAACTTTCTGCACATGCATCACATTGACGCATGCGCGTAAGACCTTTACGGCTGCGAATATGCGTGTGCGCATAATACGTTTACGCATGCGCGTTTAATGTATAACGGATGGTATAAGCTAAGCTAAAATTATCTAATTCAGTTAATGTTGCAGAATGCGTTGCTCCTTAATCTTCGAATTGGATCCGGCTTATTATTTTTTGCAGACTCTTAGAGCAATTTTATAAAAGTAAGCTTGAACTTTCGATTATGTCAAATAGAATTTCCAATATATATTTACTAATATGTAAAGGATCTACAAATCGAAAGCATGTTTCATTAAACAAAGTAAGTCCATTAAACAAAAAGTGGAATTGCTGCAAAAAATGGATAAGGGCATGATCCTTTGTTTATCTAACCATTGCGAAATCTGTTTATCAATTTCACGCTGCTCTGGGTGGGTGGTGGGGGGAACTATGAATTGGAAGTTGATCTGTCAGCACTATCCTTATCTTCAGGGCAGATGTTTTTATTTTATTTGGCTTATAATTTCTTACTAAATGTAGTATTTCATCTCGATGTACTCCGCCTTTAATATGATTAAAATCAAATTCCTCGTCATTATAATTCGCTTCCGATAGTGAAGAAAGTGACACAGAGGTTATTGAAAACGAAAGAATTTCGATTGGCAAATTAGTCAGTATTCTCGACACAGCAATTATAGGACTTTAACAGCGGAAACTTTGTAACTGAACAAGAAATTATGTCTGTTTATAGAATTAAAGAGAAAGTATTAGCACATAAAATGAAGCAACTGAAACAACTTACATTGAAAGAAAGAAATGTTTAATTAAGTAAAAAAACAAATAAAATATTAAGCTTTTTTTTTTTTTTTTTTTTTTGTTTTGTTTTTTGTAAATTTTGATACCCTTTAGATCATAATTGTTCTTTATTTCATAAATTACGGTTTCATATTTTTAATTTTATAATTCCTGCATGCCATCTTACCAGATTTAAACTGATGATCTATAATCCGGAATCGCCGAAGTCCCAACGTGTCTGGATTAACGACTTTTGACTGTATAAGGTTTTACATATAAAAATAAAAAACATACTGTAAGAAGAGCAGAAGACAGAAAACCCCTACTTAATATCCGCCACCACCTGAAAAATATGCTTCTTCTCTCTCTTATCTTCTTCGTGCTCAAGACAATACAGAGTGAAATATGTGGTAGTTTGGGCAATTTTGCAAAATCTAGACATCAGCAACAGGTTTTCTCATTCAGTATAGAAGGAAGCTTTCATGTTCATTGAATATTGTTTTCACAGCATTAGCTAAACAAATATCCTCCCAAAATCGTTAAATTTGTACCTATAATTGAAGATTAATCCTGTGCTGCTTCACTACAGCGAGACCACAATAATCATAAATATGATACTCTTCAGTTAAGAGGTCAGTAGCTCAAATGTATGGAATCATATTAAGATAGCACCATGAATTGTGCTAAACATTGTAAGCTGAACATGTTTTGATCCAAAGATATTTTCTGCGTGAAATTTTGACAAAGGAATTGCAGGGAATTTCACAATTTGGCAGCTGCTGAATGATGAAGAATTTTCCAATAAATTCTTTTAGGCGACAAAAAAATTATTGCTCAGCAAAAAAATGGACAAAATGTGCTACTGTATAAAATATAAGCCTCCCAACCGTTATAGTGGTTGGAGCTGCTGACTACTGTACAGATGAGCTGGTGCTGAAGGTCCTCAAGATGGCATTGTTGTTCATAAACTTACAGTGCCTATGTGACAAAGAAGCACTCCAAATACATAGCCAGCCAAAAGTCCTCTCGAGAATTCGGTGGTGAAGCAACAGACCCTCAGATTGCCTGGAAGTTCTCTCCCAAAATTAGATGAAAGCTTAACAGTTGGCAAGGCTCATCAATATCTAATGTATACCTATGGGAACACAAGATGCTGGCCTTGCTTCAACCAGTACCTGTTTAAATATAGAATATTAATTCATCAAGCATATTCAGCAAGCATGAACTCCTGCTAGACTGCGTGCTACAGAGCAGCACAGGTTGTGTTCCAAATACCCTACATACTAAATGCCTTTCAACACTGATTAAATTAAATTTTATATACGTTACAGGCATGAAAGGACTGTTGAGAAATATAACTTATACATTCCCTTTCAAGAAATAACTTTTATTTTTCCATACTATTAGCAAAAATAAGTGCCATTTGTAAAAGCAACGGGTATCATTTCTGATTACTGATTCTATAATGTGCTGTTCATAATATAAGGATGATAGCAAAGATTCTAGTAACTGTTCAGTTGGTTCATTTGGCCAATAAAGAATATCCTCTACCAACTGCTTTTAATGCAGGGAAGGGGAATGAAAGGCATGCTTCCATGTGGTCTTGCAATGCAGGGTCAACACACATGCTATATACAGATAGATACTGAGTTCAGTGATATATGTTGAAGATTCATATTTGGTTCACAAATGATGCAACGAATTTTTTAATAAATTTCACTTTGAAATAATTTAATGTCTGTCGAAGTTTAGTTTTTTTCTGCAGAAACACTAATATCTTCAAGAGTTACAATATATTGCATTAAACTGCATATACAATTGAAAATACAAAGTTACCTGAGGTTCAGCAAGAATAGCACTTCTGTCTGGACAAGCTCCTTGAAAACCATGCTTCCATGTAGCCAAAACAACTGGCTTCATATTATCATAATCATGATCTAAACAAAGCAGTGTTTTATATTCTTGGGGCTTTTCATCATCAGTGCTCATCACCACTTTATTGATGACAACAATTTCATTCCAAGGGACGACTACTGTGACGTCTCTGGGACGAAAAGGATCTCTCTGGAAATGCAGTTTTACAGCACCACCACCATTCACCATGATATCAAACCTGCAATGTATCATATTTTAATAAAATTCAATTATCACTTAGTGTCTTCATTAAATAATGAAGAAGTTTGATGTGACAGTATGATTATTACAAATGCATTAAATAACTTTAAAAGAGTTTTATTACATCAAACTAACAAACTAGTACAAAATAATTACAACTGCAGGTATTCTAACTGCTTACATTTATTACATTTTTGGCAACAACATTTTTAGCTGTTCTGGGGGGAAAATGTTTTAGAAAATTTTGTAACCTCCCCTTTTCAAGAAAAAGTCCTTTGGAAATGGTCTTGAAAAAAGGGACCTTGTGATCATCCTTGAAATTTATAAGATTTTATTCACTATTTAATTTTAAATTTTACTTGTCATGTATAAATTTTACCAATCATATAATGTTTTCCTTCCATTATACCAAAATACATATTATTATAGCAGCAACATTTAAAAAAAGTAATACATAAGAAGGCTAGTAATAATCATTATTGGATTCATAATCATTATTGGATTTTAAAAACATTTTTCAATTAATTTTGATTACTGCAAATTAATTGTTACTGTTATTAAAAATACAGAAAGAATGCTTAAGTAAATGTCATATTCAGTAATTTTAAATGCTTAAGTAATTGCTGTACTCGGTAGTACACTTCCGTAACATTTGAGAAAAATAAAAGATCTTATTCATCACTGATTTGCAGTATTACTTATGCTGGATAAATTTTTTTAAATTTAAAACAGAATAAAGTCTTTGAATGACTAGAAAAATGACTATCTGGAGTAAACCACTTACTTTAAAGTAAGTGGTCATATTCAGTAATTCAGTAATTTTAAGTAAATGTCATATTCAGTAATTTTAAATGCTTAAGTAATTGCTGTACTCAGTAGTACACTTCTGTAACATTTGAGAAAAATAAAAGATCTTATTCATCACTGATTTGCAGTATTACTTATGTTGGATAAAATTTTTTAAATTGAAAACAGTAAAAAGTCTTTGAAAAACTAGAAAAATGACTATCTGGAGTAACCACTTACTTTACTTTTATGACTATGTATTTTAATTTAACCAACACTTATTTTAAAATATAAGCATTTTATCTCAACATTATATTATACTAAGAAAAACAAACACAAAATATACAGAACCTCACATAAATAATCATTATTATTATTATTATTATTATTATTATTATTATTATTATTGCATTATCATCCACAGCTAATATAATGCTATTTTATCTCAAAGGAATAGTAATGTCAACTTGTTAGTAATTCAAAGCATCATTATTACTCAAAATAATGCTATAATTAGAAATAATACAACTAAAGTAATTTCATTTCATCCAAAACAATAGATTGAAGCAAACAAAATAAAAGGAACCAGTTTGGTATAAAAGAAGTGGTAGCATGAATTAGGTCTGCTGAGATTAACAGATCTCATCAAATCAGGCGAGTGCTGTTTGCCTAAGGCAGTGTGCTCCAACCTTTAGTTACCCGAGGGCCAATTAAACTTTAGTATAGGAGAATAAGGGCCAGACATTAAACAACAAAAATGAATTACATATAAATCACTAGTTTAATATATCACTTTATTTTACAGTCTAGAAATCAATGTGATGATTGGTATTGCTTTTCTGATACAAGTTTATCAATGTCCATTGTAGTTTCAGTAAGGCAAAGTCTCAAGCTTGATTCCAGTGAAGCGCTTTCAGTGTGATCTCTCGTTTTTGATTTAATTTGCTTGAGAGCAGAAAAACACACTCACACACATATGTGCCAAACAGCAATAACATTTGCAAAGAGAATTTATGCGGTTTTGGAAAACACTCTTTAGAAATCAGTTTCCAGAAATGTTCAGTGACATCACACTTTTTAGTCTGGTAGAATGGATCTGCCTGAAGATCATAAATTTCCATTTGAAGGTAGCAAGGCACCACACTTACTTCAATTTTCATGGGGTTGTTTAACAGTGAAAGTTTTGTTTTTAGGGAGTCAAAATCTTGGAATCTGTCCTGGAACTCTTTCTAGATATCAATAATTATTTCATGAAGGATGGTAAAATTTGTGTTGTTTTCTTCTTTCCGCAGCTGACAAAATGGGAAGTGTCCATATTATTTGCCTTCAGTGTAATTAGCTTTACATTAAGTTTTTTTTTTTAGAAAGCCTTCTATATGTCCATAAAGCAGGAATATATTTTGTTTTCTGTTTTGTAGTTTCAAGTTTAAAGCATTTAGATGGGAGGTTAAAATCTGTCAGAAAAACAAGATTGTTTAAAAACTGGATGTCTTTCAGTTTTTCTTGATGCTCGGTGCCCAACATTTTCTTTTTTGAGGAAAGCAAAAATTTCATTCTTCAACCCCAAGAACTGTGACAAACAAGTTTCAGCACTTTGCCAGTGCACGTGACAGTACAATAAAATGTCAGAATATTCAGCATTCAAACTGTCCACAAATGCAATAATTGCTCTGTGTCTCTGGGCTTCGCCTCCCCTTATTAAATTTACAATATTTACAACAGCTTTCAATATTTCACTCAGCCTTATAATTTTTCCACAGAGAGCTTCCTGGTGGATAATACAGTGGGAAAACAAACAATTTATTCATTTTTCTTTACGCAATCCTAGTAACCCAGTTCTATGATCAATTATTGCTTTAGCTCCATCTGCTGTAATGCCAGAACATTTCCCGAAACCTCCATATTTAGAAATGGCCATTATTCAGTGCGCTGAATATATCAATACCTTTGGTGCTAGTTTCTAATGATTTTAATTCCAACAGCAGTTCTTGAATTTCAAATTCTTCATTTATTGTTTTGACAAAGATAGCTGGCTGATGTCAGCTATATCTGTGCTGACATCTAGAGAGTAAAATTAACATTTTTCCAAAATGCCCTTGAGAGTATCTGAAACTTCACTACCCATATCATTAATAATTCTTTTATTTACTGTCTGATGGACGCTGTTTAAAAATTTCCAGCATCTTCTTATGTCCAAATGAAGATGCCATTTTTATAGCACTTCTTTTAATAAGCTCACCATTCCTTAAAAACTTTTTACTTTATAATTACTTTTTACTTTACAGTTTATTCTGTTTATTATTATTTAAAGCAGTAAGAAGGGTCTTTTGTTTTTCTAAATGCTTAACTAACATTTTTTTCTGGTAAGAAGGGCAATCGCCAACAAAATGAATAAGAGGGCCACATGCGGCCGGCGGGTTGGACCATGTTGGCCTAAGGAATGGTACGCCTTCCTGCAGAGTAGATTCTAAGGGTATGTATTCAGATAACACATGGAGATAACCAGAAAAACATGATATAGCCAACTAGTTTGCCATGATCTGAAACTGGTGGCAAAATATGATAGAAGAATACAATAATAATGCGTACTCAAACAGCTAAATAATGGAATACTTTTTCAAAGTATTTTATTAACTTTTCTGGAATCTATACAAACAAATTTTAATAGAACTAATTTTTAGCAGAATTTCCACTAACTGATCATTTGAATAATCAAGGCTGTATTATATTTCATATTAAAAATTTATAATACAACTTTGAAGAGGCCAATTGATTGTTTTCTTACCATCCTCCTTCTCTTGTAACAGTGAAGCCCAGGTGAGCATCGCCGGCGACACCAACTCGAATTCCCATAATGCCACTGCCTAAAGAGCTTACAACTTGTCCTCTGATTACAGATGCACGGCTGAAAAACATTAGGATTGCATGAATTTTCATAAATACTTTTCAAATGGACAAAACCACATAGATAATATGTTAAGGAATAAACAATTACAGTAAACTGGATAGAACTATATACACATATTAAAAAAGCATCATAACTCTGAAATCTTTCGAATTATGAAATTAATGGTGAAGATCAAAAGCAAACTCTGAAATGCACAATAATTAAAATTGATATCCATAAAATCTTCAAATTATCTAGATCACATTTTCTTTTTAACCCTGAGTAAAATTAAGATGATAGCTAATAATAACATCTGATGACTTTTTGTGTCTTAGGAAAAAATAAATTGTTATCACTTACAAAATATATTTGCTAATGCCTTTTGTGCAAGTTATACAGTGACGAAAAAAGTACAACTGCATTATGAATAAAGAAAAGCTTGTTTTAAATATAAAAATTTATGTTCTTTATCTTCAGCTTCTAGGAATTTATTATTAGCTAATAGGCCTGTCATTAAGTATTTTGTTTAAAACTGTTCAGGTACTAAACTGGAATTTGAATACAAATCTTAAATGATATTTTAAATTTTTTTATTGCTAGTTAAAATAATACAGAATAATTTCCCAATATAGTTCGTATCTATCTGAACAGAGGTACCTTTATTAAGCTTAAATAATACATAAATATACATGTAATATTAATTCCGAAGATATCTTAAGATTCAAAAAAAGATTAATAAATAAATAAAGATGACATAATATGGATTAATTTTCCAGGTGATGCATTTTAGATTACAGGAACAGAGTGCAGCAAAATTTAAATGAGGAGTTAAATGGACTAATGCTAAATTAAGTTAAAAGTTTTCTTTCATATTTTATATCTCACGTATGAGATTTCATATTTCATATTCATTATACACATGAGATTTCATATGATATTTCACATTTCATATTTTATATGAATATTACAAAATACTTTCTTAAAAATGTTATGCATTAACTTTTTATATTATTTATATAAATTAATAGCCAGTTAATTTTTACTTGACCTCGAAAGAATAACATGTTAGCAATTTATCTGAAGCCTATGCTATTTTAATTCTCTGTGTGTATGTCTTGAATATTGCACTGGAATTAATACATACATAAAGAATATATAAACATATACAATTCATGAAAATAAATTTATAAAAATATAAATAAGGGGTGCATAGTACATACCTGGCATTAAATAGAAGCCCAAGCATACTATGCAGCACAAATTAAAAATTTTTAAAATTAGTTTTCTCACATCGCTGTTAAAAACAGTGCATTTAATATTAAATCAATATTTTTAAATCTGTTTTCAAGTTTTGATTAAACTCATTACTTACCTGTCATTAAACACAGTTCTGTGTGCATAACTTTGAACAGAGCCTTCCTCTATCATAAACTGCATTCTTTGGAAAAATGATGCTGTCACGGCCGGAGGCTGCTTTCGCAGAAGTACGTCCAGAGGATCGACAGCTGCAAAACACAATGGGTTGTTCTCACACGATTTTTCTTGACAGCATTCACTGTCAGCACAATCTACCAGTCCATCTGCAAGAATTGAATTTTTTAATTCAATTTTTTCAGCAGTCCATAAAGAATTTAATTATTATATTGAAAGAGGAGCAAGCTATGTTAGCCCATTTTTAATGACAAAACTAGTCCCATGGCCATGGTACAAATTAACTATGAATATTCAGGTTATTGATACAGTACACCACTAATTAACAGATTGCTATGCCATCAGTGTATATTGTACCTGTAAAGTGTATGTGGGAGATGGATGCTGTATATAAAACATGTGAAACATCTAGTGGATGTTAAATAGGGATGTCACTATCTACTGTGAAGCATTACAGTTGCCAGTCAGTGTAGGCACTAGTCATAAAAAAGTTAAAATACAACAAAGTCCTGATAATCCAGCTAAAATAAGACTGAATGGTGATTGGATGATTAGAGATGTTATATAAACATGCAGCAAAGGATAATCAGCAATATTGTTTTAATTAAAAACCTGGCATAACAAAAGATACATATATATATATAATAACTGCACATTGAAATGGGTACATAATTATACCATTTTATACCTACAAATTACTTGACTTAAAGACAAAGATAATTCTTCTACAACACACAAAATGGTATACAATGCTTGTAGAACAGAAAATATAATGATAGACAATTAAAAAAGTGATAGCATGTGCTCTGCAAAGTTCAAGAAATTACTTTGTGATGAAAACAAGCTAGTTAGTCCTATGGTCATGGTACAAATTAACTATTAATAGTCAGGTTTGTTCATCTCAGTGCTATGATTCACTTGAAAATAACTATACTTGAACAGAGCACTATAATAATAAGTACAATAAGAAGTAGAAATATTTTTGCAATACTATTATCACTATTTCTACTATTAATAAAAATATTCTTATTAAAAATCATAATTTCTAGCACAGAATTGGTTCTAGTCAATTACAACAACAACAACAAAATTATTAACTTAAAATATCAAAAATTTTACACATCAAGTTTACTTCTTAAAATTCAGTTTATTATTAGTAGTAAAAGATTTAATTTGTTTTTTGTTTAATCTTAAGATAAAATGAAAATTTAAATAATTATGGATATGAATTATGATTAAAATTTGGTTATTTTTAGAAGCAAATACTGATGAAAATAGGAATACATTCGAATTCTCCAAAATTTTAAGTTGGGGGTACATTAGAATTTTAATTATGACCAAAGGATAAAAAATTCATGAAGTAGGTTATAAACATTTGACAAAAAAATTCATACCTTTGTCATTGTCTATTCCATCATTACAGTTCTTTTCTAAAGGTATAGAGCAATCGGGACCATCCCAGTCATGCTGACAGTGACAAGTCCATTCGCTTTCATCATTCATTGAACACTCACCATGATTATTGCAATTCTTTGAGCATCCCTCTATAATGCAACAAGACGAAAACATATAAATCACTGAATCTAAAATGAAACAATTCTGCTATCCCAGCAGAAATAAAGAAAATTTTTGCAAGTACTATTTTAGGATAAAAATGTTGTTTTTCTCTATATTTTCATAATGATATGCAGAATTTGCTTCAAGCACTCAGTAGCCATGAAGGCATTATTTTTATTTATTCATTTAGCCTGAAATACAGCTGAAATTAAGTGCTATTGTTTTGACAGTATGAATTTTATGTTCTGTAAAAACAGAAATTGCTGCTACTTTACTTGGTTGCAAGCCCAGTCTACAAGCAATCTGGTGAAAAACTGCATAGCCACATCTTGAATAATAAAACTCTTCTTTATTAAATAAGCACTAAAGTCCCTGCATGGTGCTAATTTATGATGGAAGAATATTAAAGCAGTATCTGTCATCAACTGTTCAGTTCTGTTGTTTAGAACAGCTTGTTTTAAATACATAATTTTATGTTCACCATGTAAGAACTTTTAGGGATTTATTTTTAAACAAGTTATATGTTTATTGTAACTATGCAGAATTAATATGTTTCTGTATTCAGATGTTAAACTGAAATTTGAATTCAAAGATCATGTTAAATTTTTCTTAATTTAATTTAATTTTCATCATGCAATATTTTTAACTAAAAAAAGTATTCAATACATAAGCAAAACAAGAAACTGGATCCTTAAAAACAAAATTTGGTAATAATAGTTTATAATTATGTAAGGTACAAATGCATCTTGGAGCGAAATTCCTACACTTTCAAGAAAACATGAATTTTGTGCAGTGTATTATGTAATTCAAACCATTCTAAAGATTTCCAATATTTGCACTACTTTAAAACTTATCCCCAAAAGAAGATTTAAGAAAAATATCAAGTAAGCCTAAGAGCTGCAATAAATTGCACTTAATGCATTGATTGTAGCTACAAGATTCTAGCACCTAGCAGCAAATAATGTAGGTAAGATGTTGAATAACTGAGTTTTGACACAATTTTTACAGCAACTGACTTTACATTCTCAGCTAAAATATTATTCATTTCTACACGTTTTTTAAGTGCACATTTTTTATATGTAAAGCATGGGGAGTCCAAGTTCATTTTTATATGATTTAGTGTTTGGCTTTGAATTTAGTTATAATATGATTTGCTGGCCACAGACCTAATGATAAATCTTATAACTTATTATATTTGGAGATTTCTTTCATTTAAAAATATATACCAGTTTTATTTTTTTTAATTACATCTAATTGTACACTGCATGCTATAAGCTGTCTGTTAAAAACCTTTGAAGTGTTAATATTTTCAGTACAGGTCATTTTTGACTTATTCCTATTTTTAATCAACTAATAAAAGAGTTCAATGTATATGTTTGAAAAAAAAAGAAAAAATACAGACCTAAAGTACAATGTTTTCCATTCCAACCCTGAATGCACAGACAAGTGCCATTACGGCACTGCCCATGTTCAGAACATCTAGGGTCGCACAATTTTTCACTGCATTTTGTTCCAGTCCAGCCATCCTGGCAAACACACTGGCCCCCTTCACAATGTCCTTGCTCACCACAATCAAGGTCACATTTTTCTGTAAGACAAATAAAACATTAAAACAGTTTTAATTTTTAATGGTTAATATAGAATAGACCATATGAAATGTGCAATTTTTTTTTAAACAGTTTGCAATAGGAAACTTCTGTTACACAAATTAATGTTATCCACAAATTAAAATTTTCACAAACACAAAAGCTTATCTAATACAGCTCATTTTTAAAGTTTTTTTTAAACATCCACTGTGTTACTTGCTTTATACCTCGAGTTACTATGAGACTGCAGCTGGTATTTTACAGTATACTGAAATTTCACTATGCTATTTACATGTTAAAGCACTTCCAATGCCTCTTCTTTCCAGAAAAATTAATTTTCAAAGCATTTTGTATTAAAGCTACACTAAACATTACCCTGTAACCAATATGATGGTATTGCTTACAAATGGTGAATTTTGGCATGCAGATATTTCTTTACAATATCACTCAAACTCCTCAAAGTGCATTCACTCATTTAAGAGTTCAGATGTCCTAACTTGACATGAATCAACATGAAAGTTAATAGAAACAGTTCCCAAACTAAAGGCAGGCGTTAAATCTTATGATATGTGTTTGTCTGCATAGTTTTATAGCACTACATTTTCATAATTTGTAATTGCCTTGTTTTATCAAGAGATCACATAACAGCACAAAAATTTTTGTTAAAAATGTTTTGTTTCAAAAATTTAAAGACAAATAATAAGTTAATATATTTTTAATTTTGCTTTCCTCCAATGGCTAGATATTTTTTAATTACACATTCACCAGGAATGGTTGAACACATTGATGATTTATCTACTTTATCACCAAGAACATTGCTAAAACTAACCACAGGGGGTGACCAATATTAAACTTGCAGATGAAAGAGGATTTACAATTACAACATCCACACCTTCTCTGGGATTCAAACCAGAGCCCAACAAAATAGTACTTCACTTCCCTAACCATCATTCCGAACACAGCCGCAAACTTTTAAATGTATGCTGAGCATATCAGATGAGTATAAATGGTTTTAAAAAAGGTATTTTAAGGTTAAAAAAAAGTTACATTTAAGCAAATAATGGCCAGATTTTTTTTTAATCAGGCAAATAATGGCCAAATTTTTTAAGCAAGAAACTTTATATGTATAGCAAAATTTTCTACACATATATTTATTTAATTATTGCATTTTCCAATATTTTATATCTTAAAATGAAATGAAAATTCCACATATTAGGAGTGTGCATGTAATAAAACAGTTTTCCTCATAAAGCCGATTCATTTTCTTTCTTTTTAAATTAAAATACATACTTCAGAATAGAACTAATTTCACTCACAAAAACTGCCACAGTGGTTACACTGATCAGTCACAGTGACAGATTTGACTAGAATTAGAGAACTGTAAGAAAACTAAAAAATACAAAGTATTTCATGCAATTGTAAAATTACTTCTATCAGCCTATAACCAGTCTCAGTTTTATTTCAAGTCAAATTTCAACATACTGAAATTGGTAAAACAAATATTTACATATTGATATTCATCAAAAAAAGTAATTTCATTAACATAATTTTTAGTATACAAACCGAGTATACACCAAAATAAATTTCCTACCTTGTGAACAATCAGCACCTGTCCACTTTTCATCACACATGCATTTTTGATACTTTAGATCAAAATGACCATGACCAGAACAATCCGGAAGGCATCGTAGAGCATCAGAATCTGGTTCGCTACAGTCTGCACCTTTCCAGCCTTTTCTACACACACACATGCCACTCACACAAATGCCATGATCATTGCACTCTGGGTCTAGGCAGTCAACTAAGAGAAAATTTAAAAGATCATCAAATTATATGCAATTTGGAATAAATCCAACATTGTTGAAAATTTGAATAATTTAAGAAAACATGAGTCAAGTAAGTTAGGTGATAAAACTTAATTCTAATGATTAAAAGGGAAACATAATTTGATTCATAATAATTTGAAGAAAAAATATTACAACAAGGAAACAAATTAGTAATAAGAATCTTTCCTTATCTATACATGAAAGAACATTTAATTTCTAAAAACATTAACTAGTTTACATGAAAAAAGAAATAAATAACATAAAAAATATTTTTTAAGAGTATATGGTTTAATAATTAACTCTAATTTGCTTTTGCACTGTAGATACAATCTTAAAGTAAATAATGAGTATATAAAAGAAAAAGCATACTACATATCAGAAGAATAGCACAAAAGCTCCATAACATAAAAATCCAGCACAAATAAAAACTGCACACTTGTTTAACAAAGGAGCAAAAAATTATAAATGGTAAATTTATATATTTGTGATTATCATGGAAGGAAATCAAAAGTTGCTGGTTTAGATACTCCATGAAACACAAGCAATAGCTTAAATTTTATCTTTCAAACAATTATTTCTGCATATTAAACCATGAGAATTAAGGTCCAGTGGTTTAAATTTATTATACATTTCAAACAAGCATTTCTTTGCATAAAATGATTTTTAGTATAAATTTTTAGGCAAGAAAATTTGAAATTTACTTTTTTTATGAAGCACAAATGCAAAATGAATGTACTGGTGAGAAATCAAAAAGTCATGAACTTAATAAGGTTATCCAAACATAAACAGCAGTTTAAATCTAATGCAGTTATAATTTCTTAAACTAAATATATATTCATCTAACATATGCTGACTGTGTGTACCATTTTGAATGAGACGAAACCATGTTTCGAGATTTCTCGAGCATCCTGTTGCTTTGATCAAAATGAAAACTTCGTCCACTTTTTAATAAAAGCTATAAAAATGTTTGTTTACTAAGCAACCTTAAATTATTTTAATAATCTGTAATCAAATGTCAATATCCCGAATGTCAGGAAAACATGCAGTTGTATTGTTTTATTAGTACTCATATCTGCTGTATTCAAAGAATTATAAATACTATCAAATAATTGAATACCTCTCCAATAAAAAGAACACTCCCGTATTTGATAAAAGTGCTCAGAGTTTTTTGAAAATTATTTTTAAGTGAACAAAAGGCACTCTCCCCCTCCCCCGATAATGTGGAGCTTATTCATTTCAGAAATTTACTAAATTTAGCACATGTTGAAAGAATACTTTCTATTATGGAGAACGCATTGTCAAAAGAGAAATTTATGCACTGACAGAATGAAAGCTGTGCTAAATTTTGATGTAAAACAGTGCCATGGATTGTGAGATACTACATGTGCAAAGCACAAAACGATACAATGCACAGAGTACAAAATGTGCTGCTGAGATAAACTTCATCAAAACAAGAATAGTTTTCCTCTGAGTCAACTTCAATTTTTATATGGGTTCTTGCACTGTTGAATAATGGTATGCTCAACATGTTTACTTCACAAAGTCTTTTCTTTCATCTTTCCTTGTCATATTCAATCCTTGTCTCATTTGTGTCTGCCCTATTTATTTCCTGAAAATATAGTCAGCCAAATATAACAACTTATCCCTTATGGAGAAAATAATGCCACTAATTCTGGAAAACAACAATGGAAGGGGGAAAATATGACTTCACTTGCAACAGAATAACAAAATCTACTTCATGTGAAACAAATAAATAATAAATTATCAATTAGTGCTGCTACTCTATTCCAAATGAAGTAGATTTTATAAAATTTTGCACACTTTCAATTCAGTAAATGTACTCTTGTACTAATTAAACTATTTTACTCAGTTGACTTTAAAATCAACTAACCCTCTTAAACACATTAAATTATTTAATCAAAACTCCTTTTACTTTAACTCAGTTCTAAATTCTTGTCATAATTTTTACCTCAATTTTTTTATTACCTAAAACAAACCAAATAATAATTACAAAGGTGACTGATATTAAGTACACATTTTCACTGCCCATTTTGATAACATTTTCTTTTTTATATCATCATGCTGTTTGCAAAGGCTCCTTATGAAGTTAAGAGTGCTGTGGAACATATGATAGCAAAACCAATGAAATACAAAGAGTTACTTTCTTCTATTACCTCCATATCTAAAAGGAGTTATTGAGAAGAAAGGTGACCCACTGGATGTTAGGAGCTCTTGTAAAAAATTTTTACACCCTAACTGGAATAATTAAACACAGGTCTTCAGTCTTCCAAACTGATACGCTGGTTAACACAGGTCATAAAATTTATTTTCGTGGTTTTTTCCATGTGTAACGTGCATAAGAACCAATTTCACTCAGAAAGTCCACCATGAAGGCATTCCTCCCCTTAGGCAGATAGCCCTCGAGGCTTTGCCATAATCACACACACACACATAAAACTTATTACATTTACCATACAAAAAAAGAAAACAAAGAGGATGGATAAAATTTACCCTCTTCACAATGAGAGCCTTTATATCCTGGAAAACATCTGCATAAACCATCCAAGCAGTCCCCATGTCCATTGCAATCAGCAGTTTCACACTCATCATCTCTTAGGTGACATTCCTTGCCTTTCCATCCTGAACTGCACATGCATGCTCCATTTACATACTGACCTCGGCCACTGCAGAGTATGGGACAAACACCTGGGAAAACTTTTTATAATTATTTAGCAAAACAAGTATACCTATACAGCGTAAAAAGAATAAATTTAAAACTTTCATCGATTAAGCCAAAGCAAAACAGTTAAACACTTAACATCACTATTAATATGTACAAAAGACAATTCTTTTGTACTGAATTTTAATGCAAACAGCAATAAAACATGTTAATGTTAATTTATGAAGTAGAATAGTAATTTGAGTGCCAAGTGAATTTCAGTGAACAATTTCACAAATTTTAAATAGTTTTCTAAGATTTGGGGAATATAGAACTTTCCTGTGGCTAAAAATTTGCAAATTTCATATTCTTGTCACAAAACTGGCTAGTATTCATGTTACACATACAAAAAACATGAAAACCAACCAGCCCATTCACCTGAGACTGAACCTGGGTTGAATTCCCAGCACTCAGCAGTGTTAAAAAATTGGTCACTGTTTTTTTTTTTTTTTAATTATCTTAATGCTGAAATTTTACTTCCATTATAAAGCCTAAATTTCCTTTATATTTAAATAATTTTAATTCAAGAGAAGATCAGAAATCTGCACAGCATGAGACCTGAGGTTGTGTGGATTTTAGATCACAAATAAAAATTCATTGCACTTTGGAAAAGCCACAATAAATAAATAAATAAATAAAGAGCCTATAAAAGTAATTAACTTCTTTTTGACTTTTTACCAAAAAATATATATGAAATACAATACAGTACAAAGTCTTTAATCCGGACTCGTCGGGACTTCAGTGATTCCGGATTAGGGGTTTTTCCGAATTATAGATCATCAATTTAAATCTGGTAAGATGGCATGCAGAAATTATGAAATAAAAAATATGAAACTGTAATTTATGAAATAAAACATTTCTTTTAATGTTAGTTGTTTAAGTTGCTTTGTTTTATGTGCTAATATTTTCTCTTTAATTCTATAAACAAACAAAATTTCTTGTTCAGTTACAAAGTTTCGCTGTTCAAGTCCTGTAATTGCTGTGCTGAGAATGCCAACTAACTTGTCAATCGAAATTTTTTCGTTTTCGCTAACCTCTCTGTCACTTTCTTCATGCCTTTATCCATGTTTTGCTGCAATTCCACTTTTTGTTTGATGGACATCGAAACATGCTTTCGCCTTGTAGATCCTTTGGTAGCTCCAGAATCGGAAACTCTTTTTGACATAATCGAAAGTTCAAGCTTACTTTTTATAAAATTGCTCTAACAGTCTGCAAAAAAATAATAAGCTGGATCCAATTAGAAGATTAAGGAACAACGCAATCTGCAACATTAACAGAAATAGATAATTAGATAATTTTAGCCTAGCTTATACCGTCGCTTATACATTGAACGTGCATGTGTAAATGCTATACATGTGCAGAAACTTTGTAGCTTTGAGGTCCGGATTATAGATCATTCCAGATTATGGACGTCAGGATTAAAGACTTTGTACTGTATAATTTATATAAAAATAAGGACAAAAATATATCGAAACATGCTTTCGCTTTGTAGATCCTTTGGCAACTCCAGAATTGGAAACTCTTTTTGACATAATCGAAAGTTCAAGCTTACTTTTTATAAAATTGCTCTAACAGTCTGCAAAAAATAATAAGCTGAATGCAATTAGAAGATTAAGGAACAACGCAATCTGCAACATTAACGGAAATAGATAATTAGATAATTTTAGCCAGCTTATACCATCCCTTATACATTAAACGGGCATGCGTAAATGCCACACATGTGCAGAAAGTTTGTAGCTTTGAGGTCTGGATTATAGATCATTCCAGATTATGGATGTCCAGATTAAAGACATTGTACTGTATAATTTATATAAAAAATAAGGACAAAAATATTTAATTTTTTGACATTTATTTATTGTTAATTAAGAATTAAAAACTATATTAAAATTTTAAGATGTTTTAATCTGAATGTCCTCTTCTAATTATTTACAGTCATTACTCACTATTATTTGTCAGAAAATCATTAGTTTATTTAAAATTTGCTATTTCTAATGTGATTTAAAAAATACTATTTTTAATTTTAGTTGCAATAAAAGTTAAAATTCAGTATTTTCCACCAATGGGTTATCTGTTAAACTTGACTATATTTATGTATATTACAAGAATACCATGCTTTACACAGCATACATTTTTCAAGATGATAAGTCTTGGGCAGTTATGTACATAGATGCAAGGGCACTGCAGTACATAATATTTCCAAAATTCCAAAAATAATTAATACATGCAGAATATAATCACTAATATCATTACTTACGATAAGTACATGAATCGCCCGCGTAATCTGGATTACATACACATCTGCCCATCACACAAGCACCATGCCCATGACAATCATAAGGACAAGGTAAACTAGAGTCATCTGCAGAAAATATATGAAAATAATAAGTAGACCGAAAAAGAATCAAAATGGCAAAAGAAGGTATAGCTAATTCTCTTTTTTTTTTTAAATCAAAGAATAATTTTCTGCGAACTAAACTTACCTGTAAAACGAGAAGAGAAGATGACATCATGAGGTTCATCACCATCATTATACACAGATATATACCATAATCCTCGATCAAGGAACTGTACAAATTCTACACTAAAATTCACCTAAAATTAAATTTAGAATTGTTATTGACATAATATTTCATAATAATATGATTCTTATTTTTAAAATACATATTATTATTATTATTTTGTATGCAACAAAAAACATAAAATATTATACAGTTGATCCTTGAACAGGGGAAGTTTTATTGTGCAACTCCATCTGTATATGGAATCTTTTTATGTATATTACAAAACAATGGTTTGAATAGTTTTAAAATTGTATAACTGATAATAGTGATGGATTTTTAAATATAAGTTTAATTTAAGCCCATGCAGCACTTTGTGTAATTTGAGACAATACTGAGTGTAGGTACAAATTAGGCAGTTCATCTCATAAAGGATGTGGCAATGGTATTGATAAATACAGTAACAATATTATATTTTGGCTTTCTTTTTAATATTTTATTTTTTCTAACTTACTTGTTCAATTTTGATACAGTGGTATCCGTAAGAGTTTTAAATAGTTGGACCTAAAATGTATAGAACTGATCAAAAAATTATTCTAAATCAAAGTTTCCTTTTAATAAATAATATTTTTACCGTGTAAGTGCATTTAAAGTATAAAAGATTTCTGTGATTATTCAAGACAAGTGAACAATTTAATAGTATGCGGCGGATGACACAGAGATGAGAAAATCATGTGTGCCGTCCCCACAAGTCACCGCTTGCAAGCTTTTATGATGTGTCACACGACATGTTTCTGACATCACAGACACAATAATTCGTTCCAGTTGACAGTTCAAGAGACATAACTTCATGACTAGTGTCAGAAAATTTTAGCATTCTGCAAAGTGCTGGTTGTCAAAGCCTGTTGATTTCAGGAGGGTTGCCAAACTAATGATTTTATTTTCCCTCTGATAACGTTCTAGATATAACAAATCAGAGGATGTAAAATACAAGAGAAAAATTAAGGAGGTATACAAAATCAGTCTGAAGATTTTTTCAATCGGAACAAGACCTCAGACTGCTCCTGAACTGTCAACTAGAGAGACCTAGAAGGCTCCTGAACTCTCGATTAGAGTGACCTAGAATGCTCTTGAGCTACTAGAGAGACCTAGAAGGCTCCAGAACTCTCGACTAGAGAGACCTAGAATGCTCTTGAGCTACTAGAGAGACCCTTGTAAGCAGGCTCCTCAGATTACAAGGGCAATTATTCATTTCAATAATTGTCTATGCTGTCCATCAATTATATATACCGGGCAAGTCAAAATGAATATAGCAATTACAAATGTCTATAACTATTTATTGAAAACAAATTTATCTCTAAGATTAACACATAATGCAGAGGAAACTTCAAAATTTTGTATACATACGTCACAGATGTTCTATTTTGTGACTTCCCGGTAACACGGACAACATCTGGGCAGTAGTCCATTTCACTCCATACATTCTGAAGCATTTGTTCAGTCACCGACGCAAGCGCATTACAACTGCATACTTTGAGTTCTTCAATTTTTTTTTTGGTCATGAGAGGCACAAACACCCTGTTTTTCACATACAGAGGTCTTGGTGACCTTTGGACATTGTCCTTGGAGTATAAGACATCGTCGGCAGCTCCACTTCGACCAATCCAATGCTTTGAAAGGTGTTGATTTAAAAATGTGCTAGGGTGCTCCATCTTGCTGAAAGATGTAATCCGTGGAATCAGAGTCTACCTGTGGCATTAACCATACCTCAAGCATGTCTAGGTAAACATTTGATGTCACACTTCACTCACCGAAGAAAAAAAGGATCGTACAATTTACTCGTTCATGTTCAATTACAGTGGAAGGCTTCTCCGTATTTCAAAATTCAACTGTTGTACCAGTTAACCTTCCACTTATGTGGAAAGTTGATTCATCGCTAAAAATTAAACGATCAGCCCATTGTTTCACCTTCCATGCTTTCCACCATAAATGTAACGTAATTCATACATTTGCCATAGTCTTCCTGTTCCAACTGCTGCTCAAGTTGAATGATGTACGGTTTCATTTGCAGCCTCTTCCTCTTCGCCATAATGTTTTTTGTGGAATTTGTAACTCCCTACTGCCTTCGTATGTCGATTTCCATGGGCTTCGTTCATACGTGCGGAGAATTCTTTCTATGTTATCTGCTGAAACACGTGGCCTTCCACTATTCCCTGTGCACAGTCATCCTGTTTTTTTAAACATCCGATGCCATTGGCGTATGTTGTTCACATTTTGATGTTTTTGTTTGTAACACTGACAAAATCTTCTCTGCACTGTTATAACAGAATGACATTTTTCAAATTTTAACATGCAAAATGCTTCCTGCATGGGAATCGCCATTTTTACTAATGAGACACCCGCAATGAACAGGTTTCTTGTCATTGTGGAGTTTCAACTCGCATGCGTAGGCTTCTGCTTCACTGCATCTGTGCTTTACGTAAAGAAATTTTGTAGGTCCGTCTACATTCTATGTTACTCTTATTGATAAATTCTTTTTCCATTAAACAGTTATAGCCGTTTGTACCCGCATATTCATTTGGACTTAGCCTGTATATTTGTAAAGAGCTTCAGGGTTCGTACACATTTCTGCACACGGAAATTAAGTACTTTTAAGGACTTTTAAGGACCATTAATGAAAAAAAATAAGGACCTATGAGCAACAGAAACTGAATAAATTCATTAAAAATATTATTCTATGCCTGAATTCACTTTGTATACCATCCTAAAAAAAATAGATCCCTAAGTTGTATGCATTATTTACTAAACATGAATAACTAACATAATTATTAATAAGTTTGAGAATAAAATAAATTTCATGGCAGTTTATCAAGTAGCAATTAAATTTTACACTATAATAGTTGGACATATTAAAAAAGATAAGTGACATTTTTTACTAATAGTTAGCTTTATGCACTTTTTTTTTTTTTTTTTTTTTTTTTTTTAAATGTCTATTTTGTCAACTACTTGGTCAGTTTAGAGATTAGCAAATAGTGGGAGATTTTATGTCAAACGGCATAGGTTAAATGAGAAGTGAGATCATAATCAGCATGATTCATAACAAAGACTGAATGTGTCCCTCTGCTTGTCTATAGAGAGACTGCTGATTGAACAAACCGAAAGGCCTGATGTAGGCACAGTTGGCAAGTGTTGAAGTTAGTGAAGGTCTGCTTAAGTAGATGCAAAGAATAAGTTTTACTTAATGGTGTTGATGGTTATTAATGCAGTTAATGTCATAGCTTTGTGTAGAGTTCCAGGGGTTGTAACCGAGTTAATATACTTTAAAGCCATTAAAGTGACGGAGGTGATAAGTTGTTTTATATATAAGTCTCAGTAGATGCAAAGAATAAGTTTTACTTAATGGTGCTGATGGTTATTTGATGGGTTCTCCACACAAAGGATTTGGCGATTGGATTCCGTAAAAACCCCAGTCGCTGTTTAAAAGGGGGAGTATATAAGGTATTTCTCCCACCTTCTTGGCAACCCTTCATGGTAGTGGTTTGCACACTGGTAGCGATATTCCAGAGGTTCGCGGTCGATTCCGGTGAAGGCGTTGTTAATTTCTTTCCTGCTTCAATACCTAATGTCTCTACAAGCCTTCCCAAACATTTGGCTAGTTATATTGAGTTTCTCGTTAATTATCAAATCTTTACAAAAATAATTAGAAATTTGTCTGTATGCAACAATTTGTACTAGGTCTGTGGATTTTAACTTGGACCTCTAACAAGACCTATGAGGGGCACATGATCATAAAAGGAATAATAGCCGAAGATGGAACAAATACATGGTCTGAAGAACAAAGGCAAAGACTCTAAAAGTAGAGGATGCTAAAACAAAACAAGTCAAATGCAACGAAAACTGGGACTAGTGGTCAAAAATAATAACATTAAGGGAATGAACGGGGCGTAAACTCTATCATATGAAAAAACAGAATGGAAATTTAGTAAAGGCTGAATGATAACATTGGGTAATTATAATAATAAACTGCACATATCTTGAAAATATTTTCGTTATGTATTGGTTTCTTTCTTCAATGTGTTCCGGGATTTTAGAATTTTTGATTTAATTAGTATTTTGTATCTAAAAAACTAAATGCATTAGAATGTACAGAAAAAGCGGCTAATTAAGGGTTAGTAATATGAACATTCAGAAGAAATATGAAAATATATATGGTAAAGCCGGTACAGAGCAGGGGGGCAGAATTTTTAGAATTTATGAACACAAGAACACAAATTAGAAAGGAAAACTTTAGAATTTAGAGTAGGCATTGGAAATAAATTTAGATGGCACTAGGCAGAGAATTTAGGATACACAGAGATTACATCAGGTGGGAAAATGCATAGCACCAGTCTGTACGATGCATTTAGACACATTAGAGGATTTTGTAATTGTAGATCAATTCTTTATTACAAAACTATTCTTCTATAATGCTTGCCCCAAGTATAAGTAAGAACATTTTGCTATTTCCATGCTTTTATTAGTGAAAAGTAGAGAAATAAATGGAAGATAACATGTAGAAAAGATCTAGTATAGAGTAAAAGATTAAAATATTATGTGCCCTGGTTCTTGCAGACTTCTCCAAAATTAGAAATCATCGCAAACTTTTGTAAAAGCATCCATTACGTGTTGTATTTGATACCAGAACATTTATTTGTAAATATTCTAAATGTCTATAATCGTGGGTCTATACCTTGCCTTCAATCCTTTAAACTTTCCATGCGCGTGTAAAAAATACTAAGAAAATTATCCATCAATCTGTAACAGCAAAAGCCAGAAATATTGAAAAAAAAGGGGGGGAGAAAAGGATAAATTAGTTTAGAGAGAAAACGATTGCATATTCTGGATTTGAAAGTATGAGACAAGACTGGGAAATGCTTTACTGGAAAAATTAAAAAAACATTTTAATTAATTAAAAGCTAAGTTGCTTTACTGAGACTGGGCATAAATATGCGTATAGCTAAGATACCTGTTTAGGGTCAGATGGAAATGGTACTAAGTGACAAAATGACTATAATATGAGAGAAAAAAAGAAAAATGTTTATTTAATGTTGGTTTTAATATAATCTAAGAATACCATATGATGAAATTTACATGTTATGAGTTTAAAAAAAAATCGCCGAAAATCCAGATCGCGGAAAAAAAAATTTTCTATAAACGATCTTAATCGCCAAAATGGACAATGTCAAGTTAGAACCATTAAAAAGGATCACACCTCAAAAGTGAAAGTGGTAAGAGCTCATGTTTAGAAAATGAATTCAAAATGCGTTGTTTTGTCAAATATCTTTAGAAATCATTTTAGTTGTAGAAAGAGAAACAAATTATACCCATGAACCTCAAAGATAACCATATATGTCAGTGAAGGCCAAAAATATTCATCCAAAATGTAATGCACACTTCAAAATGCAGTCGGAAAACAGAGAAATTTCAATGATTAAAATTAAGGACTTCTAGTAAAACTAATTTTGGCCAAAAATAAGGACTTTTAAAGACCAAAAATCGATTTAAAAAAATTTAAGGACTGTACGAACCCTGACTTAGATTGAGGGTAAAATATGTTTTAAGTTCATTAATGGAATAAGTATCACACAACCTCACAAATGTACCAAGCATTATACAGAGTCAGATACACTACCTGCCACCACTCAACACAGTGGTAACCCACCAGTCACATTCCCAAGTATATTATAAAGATATTTTGTCTGTCGGACGGTTCTTATAATGTTTAAGGGGCAGCTTACTTATGTCATGGGCTGTAGTTAACTTTGTACAGGAATTCCCAACAGTTTAATAGGCGACCCAAAATGTATACAACCATCATAATATGACTGTAAGCCTCTGAAACAATCTTGCTATTAATTAAGGTTAGGTAGTCAAATGGCTAAGGCTGTTGATTGTAGAGGATGACACATAATCCCTATTTAGTTCAAGACTAATGAGCAAGTAATTTTTTCCCCTCCTGCAGGGCCTGTAGTTTCCACCATCTATTTATCTGAGGGCAATGGAGATGTCTGATCATGTGTGTTAATTGTTGCTCTATTCCCTTCAATCAAATGATCAGGACTGACAAAGATTGAACTGAGATAAACGGGTTCTATATGAAACTTTTTCTAATAAATTATCTCCAAAATTTTTTTCAATGTCTGAACAGGTGTCATTTCTTTCACTTACTGAGTCTATTGAATATTAACTACGTTTTTTTTTTTTTTTTTCTTTACAGATAACATTTTTCCCCTTTCAGTTAATACATAAACAACTTTAAGTCTAGAAGTACAAATAAATAAGCCCAGTAACACAAATATGACGGTCCATACATGTAAGTTATGTTAAATTTATCAAAAAAAAGTAAACTCTCCTCAAGAGCCCAAACATTAAAGAGAAAAAGGCATGGATACCAATGGTTCTGAATTTCGTAAATTGTATCCTTTGGTCATGAATGAAAATCTACCATACCTCTAAAGTAAAATTTCTTCAACAATATTTAAAAATTATTCTAAACTCTGGCAACAACTTCATGGCTTTTAATTTATCCAAAAGAAATGTCTTAAACAGGGAAATAAACTAGACTATTCTTTTGAGAATTATTATGTTAGATTAATAAAAAAAGGGGGGTCGTATAACTTTGTGTCATGGCATGAAGTTTAAGTAGTTCCTTCAAAAATAAAGTATAATTAAATATGTAAAATTAAATAAAACCAAATACAAATTTTCCTAAATAAAAAATTGTCAACCAATTCTGGAATAACAGAAATGAATCTCGTTTTCTGTATTTATGATGCATGCTTGACATAAGTTGAAGACATGCATCTGTTTAACGGAACTTCAACGAGATCCAGCTCTATTTGAAAGCTTTTTGCCTCTAGCATCAAAATTACCTTTCAGAAAAAGGGGGGTCAAGGGATGATCCGAATCATTCGACGAGTATGTGTAAAATAAGTACTAAACGAATCAGGAAAGTAATTATTAAAACTTCTAGAAGGAACCACAATAAATTTAATTCTGGCAAAAGAAGAACTCTGAACTTTAAATGGGGGAAAAATTGTAGCACGGTGTGCACTCAGCAGCCAAGATAAAAATGAGCAACTACCTCATTCCCCCCTCCCTCTTTTTGTTAAAAATACAAAAATCGATACATGTTAAATCACGACGGAATAACATATCTTAAATTACTTTTTTACTTGGTGAGACTACTAGTTGGACGCATTGAAGTATTTGTTAGAATCTTGGCTAAGGGATCACGTCATATGGTAGCATGGATTCTACTAATTTATCTGTAACAAGTCCATCTTATGCAAGCACGCTTTACGAGGCGCGGGCAAAGAAATATGATGTGTTCTCCAGCACACTTCCATAAATGTTCCATAGTTCAAAGAATATGGAGAAGTTTTGGAACTTGGAAACATCGTATGTAATTATAACAGAATAGGCGATATGTTCAGGATCACTATTCTGATAGGACTTGAATGATTTCAAGATTCTTGCAGATGCATTCAGGTTTTCATTAAGAATACTTATATATATTAACCCATGTTATTTTTGACAAACACTTAAACGCTAATTTAAGGTAACTATGGTTTCGGCTCCCTGTCCAGAAAATCTCACGACAGGTGACTTGCCGTTGGGCACGTCGTGGAGGTTCAACCCCACTGTACCTCCGCAGAGCCGCCACCCCCGGATACGACACCAGGCGGTCGTCGAATGCTCCTGAGTCGCTCGGGCGACGTCCAGCGACCCCGGGGGAAAACCACGGTTACTAGCACCATGCGCGCTTGACTGCCAGACTCCGGCCGCCAATAATGACCTTTCCCGAGCCTTCAGAACCACCAAGTTCATAAATTTTATACCCCCATGGCCGAGACTGCCTAGGTACAGATCCTAGCCAGTAGCTTCGCAGAGTTCTCTACGTCGACCCCCGGGGGGGAATTCTAAAGGTAGCTAAACATTTCCAAACCATTATGACTCTACCCCCATGTGTAACATTAGGAAATAAGATTTTCAAATTTAATTCATTTGGAGTCTGCCACCTATTAATTTCTCTATAGAACCCAAGTATATTAAATTTGACTTTTCTGCAAATAAAACACTTTTCCAATACGGTAAAACTTTATTTGCATTTTTCTTGTTCTCTAGTTGATGAAGAATTTTCTTTTTGCTGATCACTCATTTCATCCATGTGCCCTAAATGACTCTTCTAAAAGCTTCAAGGTTAACTTTTATCACAGATCATTCCTTTGAATCTGCTAAACATTTTACAATACAATTTTTGAGTGTTTTTAGATTCATGATAGAATTTGATGTTGTGTAAGAGTGGGAATGCATCCAACTAAATGCATTTTCAACAGTTCTATGTAATTTCCGTCGATTTATGATTTCAAAAGAGGAACTCGTGCAACAAGCTGTCTTGGGATATGAATACTTTTAATCGTAAGAACATGAATATTAAAGTATCAAGGAACACATAATTTATAAACAATCGGAGTGTCCAATTATTTGCAGGTACTGAAGACACCTTTGAATACATATTTTACTACAAGGATACTTTATTAGATTTATTTACAAGGTTTAAAACAGAGAATAATGGATTTAAAAAAAAGTTTGAAGTCTGAATTTTAATATATAGTACGGGACTTATGCAAATAAATTTGAAAAACACATGTGTCCAGAAACAAATGGGAGCCACTGTGTATGATTCTATAGTCTGTATCTTAAATATATGGGGACTTATTCTTAAATCAATGGCACTGTTACAAATGTTTTGATTATAAATAGTTCAGGTGTCAAATTAGACCTTGAACAGAAAGATGACAGAGCAACTTTTTTTTTTTTTTTTAATTTTTAAGAGTTTTTTGTAATTTTGATTTTGTATTATTTTTAATTTTTAATGTAAGGTTCTTTTTTAAGATGTTAAAAATGCCATCTGAAATTCTTTGATTAAAAATTTTATTTGTTTTTTAATTTATAAATACCACTTTACATAAATGTGATGTGCATTTGTAAATTACTTAAAAAGTTTAATTGAAACATACTGGCATTAGAGATAATTTCTGTAAAACAAAGTGTTTCTAAATATTTTGCATTATTTCACACTCAAGAAACTTCTTACCTTTTCTGACCTTTTTGTTCGATGGCTTCGTGGCTTCAAAATTTCGAAGAAGTCATACCGTGTGTGAGTTGGAATGCCGTCTCTTCGACCATATACACCTAAGCTGGCACCATGAGAAAGTGTATAATTGAACTTGACTAGAGAAGGATTTCTCAGGTGAAATTGGTAATTCCAATACCCAAAACTACCAATTTTGGCACTAGAAGACTTACCCAATTGGATTTCAGAGAATGTCTCACTTTTAGGTGGTGGTGTCTTTTTTGGAATGTTAGCTATTATCAAGAAGAAGAAAAAAAAGAGATTAAAACTAATATCATAATCAGACTTTACTGCATATTCAAAATGATTTAAATATAACTCTGTGAAGCCATTTAAAGAAGTACAGTACTGATATTCATAAATAACAATGAAACTAAAAGTAGGTATTTTAGGAAAACTTCCTCATCATTCAGAAATATTACATACAGGCACACTAGCTCATTCTGTTATGCTAGTTAGTAATGATGAAGAAATCCGACACAAAATCAGCACCAATAAATTAAGTAAATACTGAACCAGAATTTGCTTCATTAAAGTGTTGCTGTTACAGTGAAAGTGGTAAAAATTATAGTTTTTATTTATATTGGAAACTAAAGTGCTTTCTCGGATAAGAAAAGGTGGAGCTTGGAACAAATTTTTATACATCTCCAATAGGAATAGAGTTTTCCTGAATATGAGTCTTGTGAATAATGCAACTTTCACTCCATTCCTGTTGGAAAGAACTGATCCAATCCCAAATCCTCTTCTTTAAACCAAGAATTACAACTTTCAACCAAGAGTTACTGTTGTTGTTTTCATCACAACAGAGAAGTTTTGATAAAGTTTGTCTGAATTACAATGAAACTGCAGTCAGCAATGTTTTCAAACTTATTTTTGACTTCCACATTGAATTTCTTTATTTGTTTACTAAATAGCATAAAACAACATAAAATTATTTTTCTCAAGTACTTAAAATAATACTTTATTACAAATTAATGTTAACTTTAGCTGACAATGATTCATCAATTTCAGGTGCCATAAATTTTTTACACATGAAATCTAGCATTATTTATTGTTTTTGCTCTGTGAATTTTAATGTCTAGGTAAAATACAAATTATTGGCACTTTTCTTTCTGTTAATACGTGTTACAAGCCTCATGCAAGTCACTGTGCAATACGTGTTGCAAGTCATTCAAAGAAAAAAATGAAAAATTATATCATGAATAATTAATACTGTTTTATTTTAAGTCTGATAAGTATTAGTTACCAAATACAAAAGTTTTTACTTTATGCTACAGTACAAAGTCTGTAATCCGGACATCCATTTTCCGGAATGATCTATAATCCAGGCCTCAAAGCCACAAACTTTTTTTTTCTGTATGCTTTACGCATGCGCCTTTAATGTTACGCATGCTCGTTTAATGTTTATGCATGCGCGCTTAATGTTTACGCATGCGCGTTTAATGTTACGCATGCGCATTTAATGCTTATGCATGCACGTTTAGCACAAAAAACGAAGCAACTTAAACAACTTACATTGAAAGAAATGTTTAAAAAGGAAACAAAAAAATTAAGCTTTTTTTGTAAATTTGATACCCTTTAGATCATAATTGCTTCTTTATTCAGAAATTACGGTTTCATATTTGAATTGTATAATTTCTGCATGTCACTTACAAGATTTAAAATTGAGATATCTATAATCCGGAAAAACCCCTCACAGGAATCCGAAGAGTTGGATTACGGACTGCGTACTATGGATTGAATATTGATTGAAACGGCACGGACTTGTACTGCATTTTATACTGAAAAATATCAGTAAGGTTTTCCCATATATCTGAACGCTCTTTTGAACAGCTCCTTATAATGGTTTTCATGATTTGAATTTGATTTTGAATCTGGAAAATACATCTTAATTGGGTAACAATCATCACAATCATTAAAAAAAATTTCAGGAAAGGTCAGTAACTTTTGATAGCATTATGCTGAAGTAAGGTCACAAAGTCACTCAAAGTGCCAATTTAAGTGTATTTTGACGTATAATATATTTATAAAGACGGAACAATTAACCTGATCTTGAATAAGCATTATACAATATTAAATGGTTATTATGGGTTTTGTGGATTATTCATTATTTTTATATAAATGGGAACAAATACAAAAGTTAAATACACTATTGTGAAATTTTGTTTTAAACTCTAGCAGTTTAAAGAGAAATATAAAATCCGAAAATACATAATAAACATTGTGACTGATCATTAACTATATATTACAAATGATAAATTAATAGGACTCTTGTTCTGACTTCTCCTTAGTTAGTTTTTGACTATCAATAGTGTATTTGGGTTATTTTCAACTTACACAAGTTTCTGACTGATGAGTGGGAAGCAATTTCTCTATGGACTGACAGCAGCTTTGAGTTATAGGAAAATTTTGTAACTGAAAATCTGTTAAAGCAAAAGGCAGAACAAGATATATATTTCTTCAAATAAAAATTACAACTGTTTGCTCAATATGAATAAATTGAACCCTAGAAATAAGATATTTTTTCATTATCTAATAATTTCGCTTTGAAGAGATGGAAATATCTTTAAATAATTATAGGGTTCTATTAAATAAAATTCGATTTTTTAACCAAATCATATTACATTTCATGTCATTTAGTGTATCATTGAAAGTCTTGTATGTCACAGGTGCTGATGCTCCATTGCAGATGTCAAATTGAAACTGAACATGGGATGAGAGATTGCAAATCCCCCTTTTAAGACTGGTGAGGATGTGTGACAATTTTATTATAACTATATTCTTCCCTGAATCTGAAAAAGAAAAAATTAAAATTTGCTTCCAAGGAATACTGATTAAAAAATTAATAGTTATGTTATACTTTATTATCTCTACATCACTGTTGGAAGGAACCCACTTGAAAAGATATCAGGGATTTAGTGATAATTTAAACCAGGATTTCTTAAACTGTGGGTCGCTGCCCCCAAGGGCATCGGGGGACCTGCAGCAGGGGGTCGCCAAAAATTTCAGCAGTTTTGATATTTCTTTAACGTACTATAATAATTATACAATTACCAAATATTTTTACACAATGTATCTGAAAAGGGGTAAACACATATAAACAAAAAAAAAACAAAAACGTTTTGACGCATTCTTTTTATATAAACGTTCATTTTCCTGCTTTGCATGTGATGCTGTTATTTCATCGTTACTTTATTTAAAATTTTCACATTGTTCTATGTCTTAAAATTAGGAATTAAAGTTAATGACTTAAAATTGCAGTACAAGTGAAAAAATTGACAGCTTCACTCACACGTATGTTGGGTTTGCGCAATACTTATGGGGTCCCACAAAATTTTTGTAGATATTATGGGGTCCTGGGGGTCATGAAAAAATCTCAGTGATAAAAGGGGGGTCGTGATTGGAAAAAGATTAAGAAACCCTGATTTAAACGAAGTTGGATATAACATTACTTTTAGAGACATATTACAAATTCTAAGGATGTAAAGTAGCAGTTATAGTCTATGCTTTCATAAGAATTGGAAATAAAAGTTTTAATTGGTCAAGCAAATTTGTCATTGCACAAGGTATGCATGTAGAAATTTTAGATTCAGGTTTTTTGATAATACAGCATGCATGTAAAGTAACTTATACACACCTGAATTGATTCTCCCAATCTCTTGTTCCATGTCATCCACCATGACTGGACAAGGATGAGAACTTGCATGATGCCAATAAGGAAACATTAAAGCTAGGAAGAATTAAAACATAATCAATATTAACAGAAAACATCAATTTAAGAATAGTATTCAGAATAAAACTACCAGATGGAATATGAAACTTGTGAGGTAATAAATCTTCATTCCATATTTCAACAACTCATTTCAGGAAATGTTATAAAAGCACTTATGTATATTTAGAAAGACTACAAGAACTTGGTAATTTTTGATGAAAACCAACATGAAATGTAACTCAAATATTTATTTACTTTTCAAAATAAATAAATATTTGAATTATAGGCTACTTAAAAAGAATTAAAGAATACAGGATGCACAATGCCATAACAGTTTCATTTCCCTCCTATCTTTCTAACATTATGTTTTTCAAATGTTCTTCAAAATTTTTAAAAATTTTTTTCATAATATCCCAGTCTGTAATGCAAATATTGCATCACTTGTTTGCCCACATTGAATAGCATTGCTATTCAATGCTGTAGTTGTTTCCTGTAAAACTATTCTACGTTAATTAATAGTAATACTATTCTGTAGTTGTTTCCTATAATACTATTCTACATTTTTTTCATACTCCGAAGTTTACTAGAATATGCATTTTAGATTATCCAACAAGGAGTTATAACTTGCTAGTTCAGTGAAATGTAGGCAGTTCACAATTTTTTAAGCCAGTTACAAAGTTAATAATTAGTACTGCTTCACAGTTTCATTAACTGACATTTGTTTAGTAGTTATTCTTTGAAGTTAAAAGGAAGTTTATAGAATATTTAATTGAAACCATTGCACAGAAAGTGATCTAAGTTAGAAAAATTCATTTTGTAATACTGTGATTAATTTGAGATAAAGTTAAGAAACTGTTGACAATTAATTTGTTAAAGTACAATGAAAATTTTTCTAAATTTCAGTTATACAAGAACTTTTAAATGATCTCTTCAATAAGTACTGATCAAGAATGGTAA